TCTCAAATGTCTGTATGAGCGGTCGCATTCATTCGCAGAAGAAGTTCAATTTAAGGAGATTTTATGGAATTCGGTGAAAAAGCTTCATACGCCGCCTGTGTTTTGGCTGAAACATAGGACTTCCGAACGACCAAAATGAAGACGAAAAAAAAAATTTTTTTCTAATTTACGTTGTAAGTGCAATATCAGTTGATGAATAGTGAGAAAACACGATAGTTTATAAGAAAATTGTCTCAAGTTATTTACTTGTCAAAATAAATAAAAGAAATTCTACTTTACCTCTCTGACAAAGCAAAGGAGCGAAGAATCAACGAATTCTTCTTCTTCTTCACAAAAATATTTTATAAACAAGACGAGATTGAAACAGAAGACTGATGTCTTCATTCAATCTCTGTTTTTTTCTATTCTTCTCACTTCTCGTCGCTAGATACTCAATGAGAAAACCTTTAGGGAATTTTTTTTCCCCAAATTTTTTGTCTTCTTAAAGTTGAAAGTTTAAAAAATAATTTTTGAGACATAAACTGAGTGTGTGTGTGTGTGTGTGTGTGTGTGTGTGAGACAGACAAATGAAAGATGATGAGAGAAAGATGTGATGTTGAAAATTATTTTTAATTGATAGGTGAGGGAGGTATGTTTTGGCTTGTTCACGTTGACAACCAACATCGTAATTCGCGTAAGGGAACAGATTGATGAATGATGACAGCTTTTATATTTCTGTGAAATATGAAGTTGTTGGGTTAAGATACGATGGTAGTGATGGGGGGTAAGAGCTTAGAAGATGAATGAAAAGTTATTTTGTTGAAGATAACTGTTTGAACGAATTTGACGATGAAGAAGCAGTCAAAAAACAAATTTTGACAACAGGAACATCACGTTCAGCTTCCGAGAACTGATTTCAAACATCATTTTAAAGGGTTTTTTGTTGGATTTTAATGAAAAGACATCTATTTTTTGGTTAACATTTGAAAAAACTTTCATGAAAAGGAGAAGAGGGAGGATGAAGGGAAAGGGCTATTAGGAACACGTGAAGTTTATTGAAAGTTCGAAGAAATTTGAATGAATAGCATGATGAAAGATAAAATGGCCAATGCTAGTGCTTCATCATCAAAAGATGGAGAAGGGACATTGGAAGGGAAAGGGTTGAGGTAATCTCACGCAAGCCTTTGTTTAGATCGTCAGAATTGGAATATTTTCGAGAAATTAATTATTTCGAAGAAAGCGACCTCTCAATACAATCTTTTTTGCTCAAAATAAGACTTCGAGGCATTCAGAGCAGCATTACGTGAGGAATCACGTGAATAGACAGATATGTAAATGATTCAAAATCATTTTCGGGTAAAATTAAACGACACAATACAATGAAAACAAAAAAATATTTTGTTCATCTGTGAATATCACGAATTTCCGTCGTACAAATGCAATTGACATCAACATAGAGTTTCATGGTAAGCATAATGCCTTCATTCACTCAAAATTTAGGTTTTTTCTCCTTTTCTCCCTTCACAACAATTCCTGTCCCCGTGTGTATGTGTGCATGTGTATGTGTGTGTGTGTGTGTAGGAGGAAGGTTTCTGAAATAAAATCTAAATTTTCTCTTCTTCCTCTATCTTTTTAGACTTTTTCCATATTTTTTTGTACTCAAAGATGCTTCTCACTCTCTCTATCTCTCTCTCTCTCTTTTATTTTTTTCTGTTCTTGGTTAAAATAAACTTTCCGTTCTTCAACCCTCTCTCTGTCTCTCGCTCTCCTCTGCTGCTTCAAAACAACCATTTGGATGAAACTATCTGATTGGATTGATGTGCTGTGTGGTTCAATACGAACCATATATGGGTTGTGTTTAAGATCCTCAAATCAAACGACGAAAATGCGATCATCTATGAGTATTGGTTCAAGCTAATTAGCAGAAGCAACCACGTGTAAAAATTGCTAATGAGCCTCCAACAGCCATATCTTAGGTATTGATTAGAATCATAATATACGTCATCAAACACTCATGCGTAACATCTTGTTCAACGTTCACAAATATCTTTGTAGCGGCCATTAATTATGAATCTTGGCAGAAGCTGACATCCCTTTCCGGCTCAACGAAACAATGAATACCTTCAAGAAGTTGCGATCACAAACTTTAATTAAGTTCACAAGAATGACAATTTAAGCAAATATTTTGCTTCCAGGATGTACACGTCTCTGCCTATCAATCACGATCGTTTGTAGCTTTTGCTTCCTTGATTATGGATCATACATTTGAAGGGTAAAGCTTTGACAGAATGTTTGAGATGTTAAGCATGGAAATCATTTTAGTCTAATTCTTTTGTTTTCATTCTAATTTCTCTTCTTCTTCTGAAATTTCGAAGCCATCGCACTATCATTGAACATTAAGAAGAAGGTAGAGATTGAGGGCTGTTGGGAACACACCTTAATTGGTCATTCCACTCTCTCGATCAGTGCTTTATAAATTTATTTTAGGAATTATCAATTTTAGATGCATTGGTAACATCTGCGAGGAAACCTTAAGTCTTTGAAGCCGTCAAAGATTTTCAAAAATGTTTTTGAATGCTGGCACGGGGAGTAGAAGCATTTGTTTGGTCCAAATGTTGCAAGTAAAGGTGAAAAACGGAATGGGTAGATATGAAGCTAAATGTTATTGAAGGATTTCATTCCGATTTGATATTAGGAATAGTTTAATCAGCTATCAGTCATCTAAACATTGAATTCCATTTCATTCATCCAGCCATCATCCATACTGAGCAGTCTCTCATTGCTGAACTCAGGTTCGTTTCTTAGAATCAACAGACAGTGAGCATGTCAATATGACACACTTAAATCTGTCAAATATATATATTTAAGATCCGTAATGATATATTTAAATTATTATTTATTTCTTATAGTGTAGAACGGTTGCATTCTGAGTATCCAATTAGCGTATGGAGCTAGTCAACCAAATTTTAGGTTCTAGAATGAAAAGAGAAACAAGCAAATCGTTTGCATAAATTTCGTATTTCACTCAGCTCTGATTCTATTTAATAAATTTTCATTTCAAACAAAATTATTCTGCTTCGTATATTCAGAAGGAACAAACAGATCTATTATGGAAACTTCAATATCAAACCAAGATGGGATATCAGAAGTAGGCTGTTAATATATATTTTCCATAAAAAATTCAGATATAACCTATAGTTAATGTGAGATGGGAGGGGTAGTGAGAGAGATAAGTTCAATTGAACAAATTAAATCTAATAATAACTCAAACTTTAATCCAATTTAAGCATTTCATTACCTTTCGCATCTATTATACCTTTACTACAAAACATACAAAATTGATTGAAAAATACCTGCGACATATCTGATTATAGGATTGAAAGCATATGATTACGTTTATCTAACTCTCTCCGTACCTGTCTCTCTCTCTCTCTCTTTCTGTGTCTTAGTATAACTCACTCAAGAACTTTCTGACTTCTAACTTCTTACGTAGTCTACAATATTTAATAAAAACATTTGTACATCTATATATATATACATATACATATCCATATTCAAATGTATAAATATATATATTATCTTGTTCTTATACTATGCCATCTGTAACTCCCATTCGCCTTGAGACAATGTTACTGTTTCATTGTTTTTGTCTCATGCACACACACACACACGCACACACACACGCACACGCACAAACCTTCTTTTCTACCATAGCTGTCATACATTTTGCATCGTTTTTTTTCGATTTGTATGAAAATTTTTAAAAACAACAGCTTTCTTGTTAAATTTGATTGATTATGTATTAAAATTACATAAACGATATAATCATTAGATATTCATAACTCTTTGCCTTTGCTACCGCATTCTTTGATTGTTTTTCGTATTTGATTCAGAAGATATCGTTGTCGCTGTAGCGACTTGAATTCATGACGACGACGGCAACTTACATCTCATAAACTATACCAGCGAAATATCATTCTGGCCAATATACATATGTATGTATACCTCATGATATTGATAATAGAACTATGTATGAATATGAATATTGATATCATTTATACAATTAACTTTAATGCAGTGTTTTCCATTTTTTAGTTGCTTGCCCAGTCAGTCCCTCTCTCGCTTCTCATCAGCCTATTTGCTCGTTACCATGTTAGTTCTCCATCTATCTCAAATCTCTCGTCACTCGGTTATCCCCTTTTGTTCATTTTATCACCTCACTCTGTGTCTCATTTCATTTAAATATTTAGTTATTTCGCTCATTTGCTTCTTACATTTAATTTTTTCGTTTCATGTGATCTCGGACGTTGTTCTCACTCTCACCTTCTACCTTTCCCCCCTTTCAACGTCAATGTGTATAACATACATACATTCATACATAATCGTCTGAAGCTGTTTTTGTCACTCTCATATCATGATTTGTCTGAAGAAAACCTTTCCGAACATCCGCTTTTTACTCTCAACCACTAAAGTCCTTTATAGTCCAGGATTTAGTTTTCATTTTTCATATTTTGCCTACAAATAAAAATGAAAAAATACAATTTTCTTGTAAAAGATTTGTCCATTGGCAATAATAACTGATAATAAAACTATTTTCTTAATATTTGGATAATGAAGAGGAGAATTATTTTAATAATCTAGTGCAGCTGACAAATCCCTCCTTCTTCTGTCTTCTTCTGAGAAAACTCTTTCGTATTCAAAATTGAAGTTTCAACTCTGAAATATCTTATTCTTTATTTTCTCCTATTCTATATGGCACGTTGAATACATTGCTGTTCTCTTTATATATCAGTTTTCTGATGCAAAATAAGATAATAGCATCTCTTGAGATGTGTGCTCGTTCTCTATGACCATCTCCTTCGCAACTATCGTACAGATGTTTTTGTAAAGTGTTTCAGTTTTGAGAAATTTTTCAGAAACTTCTTAAAATCTTTAGCTCTTATACTTATCTAATGCTTTATTAGTTTCAGAACATTCCCTTTCAGTCTTCCGATGAACTGATGGGAAGCGTTTGCTCTTTAATGGGGTCAGGGGCATCAGTCTCTGATAAGAAATATTTAGCCGAACAAGAGGCTAAAGCTCGTCAAATTGACCGAGAGCTCCAACTAGAACGAAGGAAAAAAATATTAAAACTTCTCTTATTAGGTAATCTCACATGTTTCTTCCTAATCTTTGCTCATTTTCATTTTTGTATGAGGAGAGAGAGAGCTTGAGAAATTCAACTTTTTCAACAGAAAAAAAATTTTTTTTGAACAATCCAATTAATATAACAATCAGCTTTTGCTTTCACCTGGCTCTCAGAGATTAACGAATCACATACCGCTCACTTCTGTGGAAATTCCTACTTGCTTATACAATTGTTTCAGGTCCTGGAGAATCCGGAAAGAGTACAACATTGAAACAAATCAGGTATTCGTATTATGTTGTATGATTCGTTCAGCAAAAAAGATTTCAGGATTATACACGATCAGGGCTTTTCGGAAGAAGAAAGAAAAGCCAAAAAAGAAATTATTTATGCAAATTTATTGGGTGGGGTTTCTGATGTCATTACTTATATGGAAAGCAACGACGTCAATTATCAAATTCCAAATTCCAAAGTGTTTTCTATTTATCAGATTTGGGAAAATTCATATTCTTTAAGGATTATTCAAAAGTGATTCGAAAATTTTGCGATGAAAGGCGAACAGACATGGAATTAACAAACGATATGTTTGATGCCATTGAAAGGTGGCTGCAGTTTTTCCATAATTCACTTTACACGACAACTTTCAGAATACTCATAGATCCAGCATTACAGCAAACTCTTGTGACGAATCCAGAAATAGCTGATGATAGCACAAGATAGTAATGTCTCAAAGAACAAGTGATATCCTAATCCAACTCGTTCAAGCTTTTTCCAAAATTTCGACCGAATACGCGAAAAGGACTACATTCCGACACAGGATGATATTTTGAAAAGCCGAGTACCAACCTCTGGTGTCGTTCAATTTTCGTTCCTTATCAAAACATTCACGTTTCGGTGAACTATATAGATACAAGTTTTCAATCATTAATCTATTTACAGTGTATTTGACGTAGGCGGGCAGAAAGCTCAACGTAGAAAATGGATTCATATTTTTGATGATGTTCATGCTGTGCTTTTCATTACTTCCCTGTCAGAGTATAATCAACAGTTAGCAGAAGATAATACCATTGTAAACATCTTTATTATTTCAAGTGCCATCACCTTCACCTTATGAATTCAGAATCGAATGCTCGACTCCATTGACTTGTTTGACCAAATATGTAACAACGAATGGTTCTGCAACACAGCCATGATACTGTTTCTGAACAAAATTGATTTGTTTGCGGAAAAAATACAGCTTTTCCCAATAACTGTTGCTCTGAAGAATTATAAAGGTATAATGAGATATGCGTGAGAAACTCGAATTTTGCTGCTTTGCAGGTAAACAGGAATATAGGCCGTCGCTTGATTACATCACTAAGAAGTTCAAACAAGCGAACAAGAATTCCAAAAGAAGTATTTATATCCATGAAACATGTGCAACCGACACGCAGCAGATTCAGGTGAAATATTGTGAATATCTGGATAGAGACCAGCAACCGTTCCTCACGTAACTGAATATTCAAATGAGCACTGGCTAGTGCGATTTCCAAATCACCCACGTAGCTGCACTTAGCATAAACAAAACGGTTGACGGTTGTACACATAGATATGATTGGAATGCACTCTTTCTATTCGGGATGTTTATTTTTTAAATTTCAGATAGTTATCAATAGTGTGATTGATGTTGTCATCCAACAAACCATGCAGAAAGTTGGTATTCAGTGAAATAGCGAAGCGATTTAGTTCCGAGAAAACTTCCGAATAAGTCATATTATATATGTTTACGGTTACATGTTTGTGTTTGAACAGAAAGAAACATAAATAACACTCAATCTATCAAGTGAAGACACACAATGTCTTTCAACTTGTAACCAATTTGTTTTCTCATCTGATTTCTATTAGCCAAAATGATATTTTAAGTAAATGCTTATGCTGACCTCTACTTTCTGGGAAGCATTACTGTACGTTCGGTTGATAGATGTTATTGATATATTATCATGTATGACTTGGAATTATATTTTTTTATATTATAAGGAATGCTCTCTCTATCTTTTTCTTTCTCCCTTCTCTTCCATAAATGTCTTTGAATACATCGAAGTTCAAATTCCTTTCTTGTCACTATCTATTCTCATCGCTTGTCTGTTTGGTTTTTTGTTGTGTTAAAACTAAACGGAAGTTTCAAATTTTAAAGATCACACTCTAATAAATCAGGTTAATGAATCATGAAGAATAAATCTTTTAATGTTTATGTTATCAATAGGTTTCTCAATTGATTAGTTGGCTTATCCTTCTTCTGTCCTTTCTAGATTGTCTGCCAAGTGTTCTGTTTGAATTGCTTAAACCAAAGAGCTGAGCGAAGAAAAAAGAAGAAAGTGAAAAACCTGAAGATGAAGAAGAAGATGAAGAGAAAGAAGAAGCACAAAGAAGAGTATAAAAACTAAGCTCAAATACAAAACGAAATCTTTTTGAGAACTAACTCAGATATTTCTCAGAAAATTATCTTCGCAAGTGCTTAGGAGCATTAACGTTAACTAAGACTGAGAACAGAGAGAATCTTCAAGATTATTCCAATCGTAATGCGAAAAGTGAAACTTGAAGCTGAGAAAGTGAAAAAAAACATTTTTCAGCTTTTTCCTGAACACTTCCAGACATTTATTGTGTGTGGACACAGCGTTTCAAAGACTTAAATCGGCAATTTGAACGTTCTTTGGAGTTTGTTGGATGCCGCTGCGCGGGGGTTGACACATGGCTACGCGCAGCAGCAGCACCAACCCGACCACCTCATCACCATCTCTTTTTCTCCTCCACTTTCATTATCTTTTTGCATTTCTTGGTGCTTAGGCACACACTCCGAGACGTAAGAAAAAAAGAAAAAATGGAAGCTAGAAAAGTTATGAAGAGAATAAGAGAAATCTGGAGAAGCTGAGAAAGATAGAGAGAGAAAGAGAATGTGAGAGAGGCCGACATCTGCTAACTTTGCACGACGGCGCTCACGACGGCGACATCGAAGTCAACCTATGAAGTGCGGAAAGAAGACACCTTAATCCTAGCTCCTATTATTTATATTATTTTTTTAATTTTCTTGTTTTGCGTTGTTTCTATGTGTCACATCAGCATTCTCCCTTTGTAAATAGTGCACCCATCACATATCACCGCTTTGTCCTTCAATTGAGTTAGGAAGTAGTCTGTCAAGCTTCCGGATAAACCATGAATGAGAGAGAAGTGTGACGATGTTAAGACTTCTAATTAAAATTAATTGTTACAATATGGAGAACTATGTTTCTTGCTAGTTTATGCATAAATTGATGGGAGGTAAGTTGAGTGAAGAGGATGAGAGAGAGCAGGGGAATGGCTAAGCTAACATCCCAAGCTGATTGCTCTCGTCAGCAAGAGTTATTCTCCATCTAAAGACTAATAAGTATAATACTAAGTCTCACTTTTCTTAATGAGATTTCTATTTTATTCGAATTATTCATAAACCTGATTACCTTAGTTCATATTTTTCTGAGGAAATTGTGTTTCCAGTCTATCCGTCATGCCTTGGACTCGCGAATTTCATCTAAAAACTCTTTTTTTTCGACAAATGCAATTCGAAGCTTTTCGTAAATGCTTATGCATATTCACTCAAACGAAACATTTGGGCGAATCTCTTAACATCAGAAGAAATCCGTAAAATCCGGATCTCAAAACAGTTGCCTATCTTGTGCACAACGCATTAATACAAAGCATAGAGCATTCACACACATACACACAACGGCCTTTTTTGCGCTGAGACCCGTTGGGACAACTACAATCGATTGTCCACCATGTCACTCCTCTTTCTCTTTCTCTCTCTCTCTATGTCTCTCTTCCTAGTTTGTTTAGAATTGTAATTTTTTGGATTCTCATTAATCTCCTTCTCAACACTAGGTTAGTAGATTATCATTTGATTTTGGATTGAACTATTGGTAGTTCCAGTCACTTGAAATATAGTCTTCACTTCCCTGTCTACACATCTCGTAGCTATATGTTCGTCATGAAGGTCATACAATATGGAAGGATATTAGCTGACAGTCATACTTATACTTAATTACAAACCTTTTATTTCCTGATGACAGCTGTACAATAGCGTGTGTTTTTTGTGCATGAAATGCAGATCGCAATCTCATAATAGGGCATGCTTTCCAGGGATTCCCTGATTCTTCGGCAGCTGCACAGAGTTCATCGCGTAATGCTTGGAAGATTCTGCGAATCCACGTCATTTCCATGTTTTACACTTTTGCACAAGAATAAAGAGACATGACAGAGAAAATAGGAAATAGAGAGAGAGACAGAGAGAGAGATCAGATGGTACAGAGAGACAGAGCGACCTTTTGATTCAATTACAATCATCATTATTGTCAAAAAAAACTTTCTTTCTGATATTTTGTTGTCTTCACTCCGTTTCAAATTAATATCTGAAAATCAAAAGAGCTTTCGTTATTTTGCAATATTTGTGACAAGAGTCTGGTACGAATATAAGAATCAATTAGAAATGGCCTCCATGAAACAATTTTTGAAACAATTTACCATCGACTTATCGCTGATCTTTACGAAACTGAAATTTAACTTCTTTCTTATCTCGAAACGACAAATTGTTTGTTTAACTTCAAGTCAGCAGAAGCTGTCGATATGAATACTCTCAGCTGTCTCTACTTTCTTCTTATCAAAAAGAAACATACTTCGTTCTTGTATGAAACTATTGCAAACTTCTACGAAAGTGATTATTCTCTACGACACAAGGTACCAACATCATAGTTCACAAAATATAAGAAATATCTACAAATTTTATAGCGCGGTCACTTCCTTATCTTCTGCAACCTAAGCTTTGATCTATTTTCTACTTTTTCTAATTTTTTTTCGTTTTCAACTTATCGACTGTGAATGTATACTTCTGACAACCTGTTGATTTTGCGATCTTTGGATAATTCATACTAATGATCAGAACACTCTTTGAACGACTTTCCTAATTTCAAAAAACCTGGTGATGTAAATAAGATGCCTATCCTGCCTTTAAAGAACTCTCTCTGTCGCTCTCTGTCGCTCGCTGTATACCTTTCTTTCCTTCTCTCTGCTTCTGTTTTTACTTCCCTCTCTGTGTCAGGTTTTTAAACTTTCGATACATTCGTGGAAAAAACACATGGAACACAGAGATCACATAACTTTCTTAGAACTACTTAATAAGGAGATATGAAAAACGAAAGATCAAAGTTAGAACTAACCAATAACCGGTTTGTAAAAGCAACGCAACCATGCCGTCATCACGCCGACATAGTGTTGGCCACTTTCTAACTGGAGAGACGAATGAGGGCGGTTGATGTGACTGGTCAAAACAATCAATGCTTCCTTGACAGACTTTCTCGATATTCTCGTCTTGAAGATTTGTAATTCCTCCAAATTTGGAATGGAATGCATTTGCCTGCTTGGCTCACTGTTCTCAATACAACACGGTGTTGCAACTGTCGTCAATCTCAGCTTTTTTTTCCAGTGTCTCCATCTCTCTCACCCTGTATCCACATCACTCAAGAACTTTTTTATCTTGCAAACGCTGTTTAACATCAAAATTTCTTTTTCTCAGGTATAAAACTCGACGATTACGAAAACGTTGAATTGATTACGTCAAAAAGATTATTCATGGACACGACCAATGAAGCAATGAGTATACGATTAGTAATTTCCAAAAAAAAAAAAGTTTCTGCCCCATCCTCCACTCAATTATCTTGTAAAACAAGTACAAAATCTTAGGAACACTATCAAGCGAACCTTTTATTTATTCAAATACACGTGTAGCATCTTCAGAAACGCATTAAAGGTCAACCATATTAGCCCTTTAACAGAGCTGGGTTTCATTCCAGTTCGTTTGAATGGAGGTACGGGCGCCAACTTTTTGAAAGTAAAAATTCGCAAATTTTAGTTTTTTTTCTTTTTAAACAGTTTAATCTTTATCGATTGTAGTCTTGCTACACAATGAGTTAAGGAAGGCAAAGTAGAAATTTCTTTTTTTGATTTTATTGATTTTTTTTCATATTCTGATATCACATATGTATCTTCTCATACAAATCACTTCATCTCTAATTTGCATAATTCACGCGCCAATCACGTGGATTATACGTGTGAAGGGCATCCCTTAAACTTCATTTCTAATTGCTTCCGCAAGAAGAGCGGTTGTATATCATTTTCATGTAAACTTTTTTTTTTTTTTTGTTGAAGCTTCTTTTCTGTATTTTGAACTTATTTATCTCCGTACATCAACACTCTTCTTGTTTCTAGTGTTAATTAGATGATTATCTTTGAATGTTGTCAAAGATCGTCGTACGACCGCTGGTTGCTCTTTTGTCACAGCATTCCCGCCCATCGTTATCCCTTGTATGCTTCAATACAGGTGTACGTTTCTTATTTCCTTCAAGTCCTTAGAATTTTGAACATTTTGGTTTAACAGATAATGAAATGTATACAATTCATAGTAATTTTTACTTTTATCAGTTCAAGTTTTTTATTTATTACGCCAGGCGTAGCGTTTGTTTTTAGATTGAAAAAAATTGTCTGCTAGATTTCTTATGTTAATCTTTTTTATTCTGCATTTAGTTTTAAATCTTACTTCATAATCTTCTACGAGCAGTCTATCAATAACACTTTCCTTTCGTTTTTGCCTATTCCTATACCTATCCTTCGATAAGCTCTTCGTAAAGTTGTAATAGAACCAAAAAAAATGCGACGCTTTTACACCTGCATATACCCCGTAATACATTTTGAACCCTATTATCCAGAAAATGGAAGTACATTTTGTGTATTTGTTTCAAATTATTATCGGAAATTGATATTTTGTAATAGCCCATTCCACTTCCTCCGTAGTTTTTTTATTGTGTAAAAATCTCTTGCGTCAGCGAACTTCATGGCACCCATTATCCGGTGGGCATGTCTAGGAGCAGCAGTGTAGGTCTCAGATCTTCGATCGATTGATTCATTTTTCTAAAGAAATAATGAAGCTTTTCGCTTTATGGTAGTGGTTTAATATTCAGATCAATAATACCTCACATTAAATTGCTGATTATATTTCTTACCAACTGGCCTACAAAGTATCTCTCAAATACGCTATGTTCTTCCACAATATCATATTCTTACTATATACTGCGAACCTAACTTATTTTCTCTCGGCTTCGTATAAGGTTCTCAGTGTTTATGTAGCGTTCTCATGATTTTTTTAAATGTTACAAGTCACTATGAAGGATCGGGGTATTCCTCCTGTTGTCATGGTGAAATGATTAGAATTCATCTGAATTATCTTAGCCTTACTTTGCTTCCTTTCAGTTTGTTTTTCCGACTCTTTACTCGATTTCGTTCAACCAATGAAATTTATCTCCTAATTCTGTTCTTTTCCAGTCTCAAACCACTTCACTGACAAACGTAGAATGGAAGACGTTTATTCCTCATCTAAAGGTCTTTCTATGCTGCTTTCAGCTGTTGCACAACCTCTGGTCTCTGAAGATGAGTTGGGACTTGATTGGAGTAAACAAGAATCAACAGGTACATTTAATTCCATGATGATTGTGATGTATAAGTTTTTGAGATATACTTGTTGATTCTGCTGGAAATTCACCGTCATCTTTACTATCGATGGATGAGGACAGCTCTTCATTATCGAATATTTCAACATTCGGAGAAGGGTGCGATATAAATGGTAACAATATTCTGGGACTTCTCTCGAACAATTGTTCTTTCAGCTACATCCTTTTCGACATATGAAAACTTCCTCGCTTTCACAGATCCAGCATGCCATACATATATGAAAGAGGAAAAGACTGTACATTCACAAAGGCGGCCGATAATGAGTAAGTTCTTATAATTTTTGTTTTTTTTTCCTTTATGATAGAAGTTCATTGTTTCAAATATGTTTTTAAAATGATGCTTTTGTCACATTATGTCAATATATTCTGTCCAAACCTGCTAAGTAGAATATCACATTACGAGAGTACTGCATTCCTCAATATCCCATCATATTTCATCTCTTCTTATCCTTATCCTTTTTTCAATTCTCTTATTCCTCTATCACATTTCAACCATTTCTGTTCTCTTCTCATGTGGTTTTACCCCTTAAGAATGATATGACAGCTGCTAGCTGAGATAGAGTTAAATTTTGTATGACGCATTACGAAACTTGTGAGATCATGAACGATGTTAGAGGAAATTAATTGGAAATGTTCACAAAACGGTTGCATTCATCTTTTTAATTATTAAGTGAGGAAACGGCTGCGGGAATGCTCGATGGTATGCTGGCTATTCCGAACGCTCTTAACATCTGAATACCGTGCGTTACCCCTGAACGCTATATTTGAAATATTCGAAGATACAGTGAGTTATAACTTTCTACAAACATGGGCAACTATCGTATTCTAGAATCCGTCATCAGCTCATGGTCGACATTGGAGGCAGTCTATACGTCATTGTCTTATGTCATCAGCAGTTTTCGTTCGTGTTTTAACACCAAACGTAAGTTTTCATGCTATTTGTTTGAGGTAAACTTGTGATGTGGGTTAATGAGATAAGAGTGTCATATGAATATTTTAACATTCTCATTCTGGCATCTTCCACTGTTTTATCTTTGAGAGTCCAGACAGTTGAACTCAGATAGTGAACGGACAACACGAACAGAGTGATTCACTAAATCCTATTCTTTGAAAATACATAATTAAGTGAGGTAGAATGTGACACGTTATAACCTAACTTTGACCCTCTGATACAATATCTTGTTCGAGTGTGGGAGCAAAGCTCTAATAAGCCTATTGTATGCAAATATATACAATTTCAGCCAAGGAAAGATTTCCTCGTTATGAACGAGGCAGGCTCTTGGTGGACCGTTCATCCAGACTGTGAAACAGCATGCGCAGAAGAAGTATTTCAGCCTGGGCTTTTACATCGTTGTCCTCCGAATACGGGTGGTGTTGTTGGGTAAGTTACTGTTTCATTTTGTTTATTTTCACGTTTCAAGTTTTTTATTTAACATTATCATCTTTCTATTGGTTTAAGTACTATTTACTTTTTTCTTAGTCTCACTTCTTCTGAACTACTTTTTGACATGTGACTGAACTCTGTTTGCGTTCTGAAACCAGTTAGCTCAATATGCGTGGAAGCTGTGTTCCTCCAGTAGCGAACTAGCGTTGAATTTTATTTTTATCAAAACCTTTTTCCGAGGCGTTGATTACTTGGCAAATTAGTTTAACTCGAAAAATGTGAAGACGTCTTGAGCGCATCCGACTGATTTCTTTATGTTTTGTAGCTTTTCTCATAACCACACGTTGAGTTTTTCAACTTTTATGTTGACTCTTTTTCCTTTCAAATTGTTCTTCTGCGTGCTTTGACGTGATAGATAGAAGTTTAACAACGGAGAAGAAGAAGCTGTTGCCTGCGTCATTTGCCGGTTCGCACGTTGCTCACAAACAGTACAGGTCTCTTCGTTGATTCTTCTCTGTCCGTTCTATATACTTATTCTTCAATGATAGGCAATCAAGCGAAGAGTAAAGCTTTAGCTACATAGTCATTTTATAAAAAGGGAATGTAAGAATATATTTGGGAAGGAGGCATCCATCCAACTAAAATTAGAAGAAATGATTTTGTTGAGACTACAAACTCAGAAACTTTGTACGTTATTCTATTTCCTTATTCTCTTCTCCTAATCTTTGCCTTATCGTTCAAGACGTTGGTATATTCTAGACCAGACAATGGTTTCCTTTGACTCCCACTCGACCATATTATCACATCTTATCAATTTCCAAACTATAAGCCATTATCTCTAACTTCCTTCTATTGATTTTACGGAGGGATTTGACAATGATTATTCATTTTTAAAATTTGTAGAAGAATGCGATCTTACCGAGTGGATGATACAAGTGAGATAATCATGCGGGATGCAGTCAGGCAAAAATGGAAAAGTGAAAAAATATTTGGAACTAAACGGAAGCCCCTTCTTGATAGGCAAGCTTTCATTCACAAATATTTAATAATTATTTAAATATAGATCCAAAAAGCAGAAGGCTCCATTGAGACCGTCATCTATTAGTCTGTTTTCTCCTGGCCAATTGAATCCTTCCAGAGGGGATCACTTGGTTGTTGATCACGAGGAAGAAGTAGTTGGGTAATTTCAACATGATATCGCCACTGTTATCCTGTTGAAGCATCTTTTTTTCTAGTTTTTATTTCGTAATTTTTGATCAACATGTGATTTCTTTCATATTTTCATAAGATATTCGAATTTGTATGGTAATCATCCTCATCTTGTACTCATACGTCCTCTTATTTGGTTGTCGACCGGGTGTTCATTTCTTGTTACCGCAAAAAGCCATAGGCTTTATTTTTTTTTCAAAATGCTCTCTAGAAAATTAATTTTATCATCAAGCATCGTTCTCAATTCGGCATGCAATTCTTCTGGGTCAACAGATGAGCAGTTGAGTCCTTCAACAAGGTTTTTCATCAATGTTCAGCTCTATTAGTACAAGTAGAATCATTATACGGATCACTTTATCTCATTTATAATCCGTGCTAGTTTCATTTTAGAAATATTTATAATTTTTTGCGGAAGAAGATGAGCAATAGTGAGAAATAACTCTGTTTTTCGAGTTCTCAATTTTTTTTAATAAATTTGTTACACTTGTATCTCTCATGATCATCAATAAACGTTTATAAACCTTTTGATCTCTTGTACGATCGGTTGATTTAGCATAATACATTGAGGAATGACGAGAAATACGTGTTATGTACGTGACTTTCACATGAAAATCATTTATGAATGTGTGGACGCTGTGAACGGTTGTGCTTCCAATTTGGAAGTTTCTCAAAGAAATGCGAATTCAAAGTCCAGGATTGGTGTGGGTTTGTAGACAAGAAAAACATCTGTTTCAAATTAAAATTTCAAGAATTTTATTATTTTCTTGCAATAAGAGTCATTATATAGTGAATGCATACGTTATGTTGTTGTTGAGATCACAAGTCGTTAATTGGTATTTTTCCTTTTTTTCTCATAAAATAGTTAAAAAGTTTTATTCCGGTCAAGCAAAGCCTCATCACAATGTAAGAAGAAAAGATAAGCTTCTGATCTCACATCAGAATACAGTTTGATATTCGAAATTGTCAAACTAAAACATTTGGTAACACAAGTTTTAGCCAAAGAAGGTTTCCTTTACACCGGTGCCACGGAATCGCTCTTTCAATGATTTCATTTTCGCACTGGATGATCTCTGAAAGAAAATAAAATAAAAATTAAATTTTTCTGTTTTTAAAGATTTTTCTGCAAGCTAAGAGCTTCTCTTTCCAAGCACTTCATTGTTCCAAATAAAATAATTAGAAGTTGGGAATAATTTTTTCAAAAAAACAAAACTGGAAAATATCATAAATAGAGTGAGCTACAGGTGAAAGATATTTTTGAATATCAGCTGTGTGATAGTATATGAAACATGAAATGATCGCAAACCTTCTCTTCAGGATAGAATCGGGAAATCCATGGAAAGATGTTACCTTGGGTGTTTAATGCATAAACATCGTCCTGAACAGTATAATTGAATTATTTACAGAGGAAATGTTTCATTTACCGAATTATACTGTGCTGACGTATTAGCAACAAGTAAAACTAACATGAAAATCGCTGCCCACATTTGGTACTGCAACAACAATTTATAAAAATTAAAGCTTTGAAATGAAAATTACAAATTATGTCAGAAAATAGCTAAGATTAAGCACATAATTAGTATTCAGATGAGTGTTATGGTAGAAGCCTCTATTACGTTTAACGCGAGCAGAATTATTTTTTTTTCAAATAAATATACGATTATTATGAATGAAAAAGGGCACAGCTCTTCCGCAATACAGGCTCCAATCACACAGATCAGTACGAACAAGTCTTATCTGAGATATTTGGAAAATAAGTGTTGTGCCTACTAAATAGGTGAGATTTGAGAAAACTGAGCTCTCGAAGGGTGGAGCCGGACAAAGGCCGGATGCAAAAAGGGAGGAGCTACATTCTAAAAGGAAAAGTTGAACAGATGATTTAGAAGAGAAGAAAAATAGTAAGGGGAAGTAGGAGGAGAGTGAAGAAAAGCGGACAAGAAAGTTCGAAAGAGAGTGAAGGATAAGCAGAGGATGAAAAAGGAATTAGAAGAGAGCTAGAGAAGACAACCGTTCTGCATGGCATGTAGATGAAGAATGAAAATTCACGTGAAGTCCACCTAACGAATGTGTGAAGATTAAAGATGTCATGAAGATGTAAGAGTGTAATTCAAATTCATTGTAGAAATATGAAAATGAAGAAATATTAATTTGAATTTCTCGACAACAGAATGTCATATGCTTGGATTGAGTCATTAATAGATTTCTAATGAGAAATGACGGAAAACTAATTATTTTTTTTAGAGGAATATATAAAAAAAGAAACATTGAAGACCAAACGTTCTTTGAGATGTTTATGAAAGATTTTTATTTTGAAAAATTTTGATGCACAGGAAGGGCTATCGCAAACAATTTACAATTTAAACGAAAAATTCAAATTCACGTCATAAATGGATATGGGAATTAGAATATTGTCAATGGCTAACATACTGTTCTCATATGTATACTGAACTTATAGTTCCAGTAAACAAACAAACAACTGATCTGTAAACAGCTTGATGTCATGAATATGGAACGATATCTTCCACCAGCTGATTGCCACACAACCAACTGCAATATTGTTTTGTTGAGTTTCTGATTTGTGTCGTCTGTGATGTTATGATATGAGGATTGTTTGGTTGGCAGACCAACTTATGTTTTGTTTTAGGATAGATGGTCTGTAATTCAGATGGAAGCCTTGTAATTTTGGTTTTTTGAACATTCTCTCCCTATTCATTTAGTGAATTTTAATCTTTCCTCTCTAAATTCATATTGAATTTCTTCAAAGGATCTCTAGGATATCATTGGTGCAAGAGAGAGAGTGAGTGTTTGAATTCAAGTACATTTTCTTGAAGCAAACCAAAGTTTGTCTTCGAACCGCTATCTTTGCTTTTTCGCTCTTAATATGGACACTTGTACAGCTGAAAAATTTTTATTTTAAAATTAATCAGGTGATTCGGTTTTCAGAAGCCTTTCAAACGGTTCCAAATTCAAATTTATCTTCAATTTTTAGTCCGATGATTTCTGGAACGAATCGGAGAAAATTGCGAACATTCAGCTCTAAAAGATTTTCTTCTAACCAAATCTATATATTTTCAAATAAGGGGAATTCGAATAAGTGACCGAGATGGAACGATCAAGAAAAACTTCAAACAAAATTCCACTGGCAAAAACATCCGATAATCAGAGGAAATCCTGAATTATGCAGGTTTCAGGACAACGTCAGGTTATAAATCTTCCATCTCATGGTCCTTCCTTCGTCTTTACCAGAAAACCATAAACAACTAGGCTTTTCGAAACGAATCAAAGGAAACGGAAAGTGGAGGATTCTAAGACAAAAAAAATTATTTCTTTCCATAGAAATGAGAGAGGGGGAGTTGTAAGTGATGATTGGCAAGTGTAGAACTACACCCCTAACCCCAGACTACAATGTAGTCCAAAATAACGTGATAATAAGAAGTATTATTGATTGACAAACTTTATCGAACGAACGTAAATCGTCTTCACAATTAGTTCAGCCGTCTCTGAAGATTCATATTCATTCTAACTTCAAGCTATGAAAGTCAAAGCGGTTCTCTTCGATCTAGGAGGTGTTCTCATCCCTAGCCCCATAGATCATTGGCTTGGTTAATTAAAATTAATTATATTTCATAGAATTTTGTTACTTTTGAAGAGGTTGAAAAGACTTTCTCCCTCGAAAGCGGCTCTTTGATCAAGACACTACAAACGGAAGAAGCACTGAATATCTTCTATGAACTTGAGAAAGGAGCCATAACAACCTCTGATTTTGATCCTCTTTACACTTTAATTTATAATAAGAAGGTATTTGTTTTCATAATTTTTCCTGCTTCATTAATATTTGCTCAGAACTCAACTGACTTTGCACTGATTCCGTTAATGGAATCGTTTCTAAGAACCATTAAGAATGTTCGAATAATTCCAAAAATGGAACAGCTTTTAAAGGTAAACGATAACTGAAGCTGACGTTAATAAGTATTTTTATCTGTTTCAGCTGCTGAAGGCATCTGGCTATGTTCTAATCCTTATAACAAATAATTTTTACGTAGATCGAGCTCATTTGTTACCAACTTTACCACAGCAGATTCCTGATTTCTTTGATTTCATAATTGAATCATGTCGAAACAATTGCAGAAAACCTGAGCCTTCCATCTACGAGTTAGCTCTGAAGAAAGCACAAGTACTTTTGATTGAATTGTCTCTCCAAAAAAACCAACGTTTGTTCAGCTGAGACCAGAAGAATGTGTTTTTCTGGACGATCTGGGATCCAATTTGAAAGTTGCAAGATCTATGGGAATTCATACAATCAAAGTTTTTTTTTTCTCCATTTCGGGTTTGCAATTGTTCTTGCTTGAAGGTCAACGAGCCGGGGAAAGCTGCTGACGAGTTATGCAGTTATCTTAACCTTTCTATGGACTATCCTCCTGAAACTCGAGAATGTTTGAAAAGTTTGTAAAACGCGATTAATAAATATATTTATTTACTTAATACAAAGTCAAACAGTAATACTCTTATTAAGGGGAGATGTTGCCGAAGGAAATATTGCAAACAGTTTTGAGAGAGAAGCTCGGATTGCATGGAGCATCTGAGATAATGATTCGAAAATTCAATCATGGACAAAGTAATCCAACCTATTACATAAAATATTGTGGGAGAGAACTTGTTTTAAGGAAAAAACCTGTATGTTTCATAAATATTTTATATATTCATGTTTTCTCTCACAACCAGCGTGTTTACAGAGTGGCACTATCCTGCCAAAAGCTCATCAAATTGATAGAGAATATAGAATACTTAAAGCTTTACACGGGAAAGTTCCTGTACCAGAAGTTCTGCTCTATGACGAAACGTAAAAGACTCAAATATTTTTTTTCTATTTCTGCTCTTCCAGAACCTTGGACACTCCGTTTTATCTCATGAATTATACAGCCGGCCGAATTTTTTTGGATCCGAGTCTTCCGAATTTGAATAATACTGAACGGCGAGCGATATATGAGTATATTTTCTTTTATTCAAAACTTGATGTTAATTCTCTATAATTAAGGGAAGCTATTAGAGTGTTAGCAGCTATTCATTCTCTCAGTTATGAAAGTCTAGGTCTCACAGATTATGGCCGCAAAGGTAAAATTAGAATATTTTCTTAAGCCACGTGTTACTTTCATTTTAATTGAGTTATGGCGTCTGATCGGTTGTTTTCACCGATATTTGTTTCTGTTAACACAATCATTCCAGATGGCTACATGGCGAGGAACTTGAAAAGATGGATTTCGTCATATGAAATGGCAAAAACGGAAGACATCCCAGAGTTGGATGAACTAGTGGACTACTTGAAGAAAAACATTCCAAAGGACAGACACGCATCAATAGTCCATGGAGATTTCAGGTTTGCAGGAAAAAGTATTTATAATTGCATACTGATGATTGAAGATTAGATAATCTGATATTCCATCCTACCGAAAATAGAATAATTGCGGTATTGGACTGGGAAATCTCAACAATTGGAGATCCAATTGCTGATTTGGCTACTTTCATGTTTACTCACTATAATACAAGTGATAATAAGGTTTGCTTCGCAAGTAATCTCTGAATACAAGTGTGAAACTATCAGATGTTACAAGGCTTGGGGAAGTTGAAAGAACATGAGCTTAATCAGATGGGAATTCCAACTGTATTGGAAGCTTTAAATCTTTATGCCCGTTTCAGCCATAGTAAGCCTATTGAGCCAAAGCTATGGATCTATTACGTCGCCTTTGTGATTTTCCGCTTTACTAGTATATTACAAGGTGTTTGTTGAAAAGTGAATAAGGCTTATTTTCTATTTTTAGGAGTTTACATGAGATCTTTGATGAAAAATGCATCATCGATACAAGCGTCTTCCATAGGCTCAGTTCCAAAACGTCTTGCAGCTTTTGGTTTGAAGTTAGTTCATGGGGTTTCTTCAACGTCAACAACGGGTAATAAATGTTTTGAAGACGAAGAAAAGAATCGGAATTTAGGGTTATTGGCTATAATTCCAAGTTCTCTGAGTGAGAAGGCCAATAAATATTACCAAGGTGTTCATAGGATTGTTCATGAGGATATAATACCCATTGAAAGAGAGTTGAACGAGTATTATCTGACTGACAAGCAATGGACACGGCATCCAAAGCTAGAGGCCATAAAGGTTTGGCAGTTTCTCAGTTTATCTTATGAGATGATTTAGGAAAAAGCTAAAAAACAAGGCCTCTGGAATATGTTCATCTCCAGTCATATTGACCCTAAAACCATATATGGATGTGGTCTTACTAACGTTGAGTATGCTCACATATGTGAGCTAATGGGAAGAAGTATACATGCACCTGAAGTAAGACATTAAAGGAAAATCTCAAGTCATAGGTTTTAAGGTATTCAACTGCCAAGCCCCAGATACTGGGAATATGGAAGTTCTTATTAAATATGGAAATGACGAGCAAAAAGAGAAATGGTTGCGTCCTTTGCTGAATGGAGATATTAAAAGTTGTTTTGCAATGACAGAGCCTGATGTGGCCAGCAGTGATGCGACAAATATTCAAGTATTGTTTTAAACTCTTATTTTTTTCATCTGATTGATCTGAAGGGCTCTATTACACGCCTGGGTGATGACTACATAATTAATGCACGGAAGTGGTTCACAAGTAATGCAGCACATCCTGATTGTAAAATTTGTATTTTCATGGGTCAAGTAACTGGTTCAAAGGTTCGAAAATACTGATCTATGTATAAATTCTCATACTTCAGAAATCTCGTCTGTTTCAACAATCCATGATATTAATCCCCATGGAAACAGCAGGTGTCAAAATAGAACGTAATCTTCACGTTCTTGGCAGCCAAGATCCTCCCTGTTTGTTCTTTGATATACAAATATCACAAAAAAAAAGAAGTTTCAGCTGGGCATTGCGAAATTAATTTTGTGAATGTTAGAGTTCCCATTGAAAATATGATTCTTGGAGAAGGAAGAGGCTTTGAAATCGCACAGGTTCTAATTAATTCATATCCTGAAATAGATCGCTAATTTTAAAGGGCAGATTAGGTCCAGGCAGAATTCATCATGCAATGAGACTCATAGGACATGCAGAGAGAGCCATAGACGTAATGAAACAAAGGGTGAGGTATCCTCTATGAATTATTATTTGCAAAAAATTAATAGAGAAATTAATATTGTTATATAGGCATCATATCGCGTAGCATTCCGCAAGAAATTGAATGAGTACGATTCTATAAGAAAAGAAATTGCTTTGTCCCGCTGCGAAATTGAACAAGCACGTCTTCTTGTTCTTAAAGCTGCACTCATGATAGATACTGTTGGAGCTAAGGTGAACTATATGTCAATTTTCAATAAAAACTATGAGATACATCTAGGAAGCTCAAGCTGAAATCGCTATGATCAAAATTATTGCTCCTAATATGGCACTGAGAATTGTTGATCGTGCTATTCAGATTGAAGGAGCAAGGGGTCTCACTCCTGATACACCATTGTCTGCATTTTTCATTGCCGCCAGGTTGTTTCAATTACCGAGATCATTTTATATCAGTTTTTATGTAGATCCTTGAGACTTGCCGATGGACCTGATGAAGTTCATCTGGAAAACTTGGCGAAACTAGAGTTCAAAAGCCATCTTTAATTCTGATATTGACGATATTTGTTAGAAGATTGTCAACTCAGTATTCTCTTTTACCGATCAATTGTATTGAATTTGAGAAAGGAAAGCAGATTCCTTTTATACGTTTTGAGTAAGAGAAATTGTAAGTGAAGGTTGAAGTGTAGGTTATTCGGCTGACTTATTTTATCCATGAATGACTCTTCGTATTGTGGTAATATTTGTATGAAATTATTTATATTATTTGAAAGCAGTTTTTCTTTTTCTTGTTGCTTGAATCATGCTGCGGCGGGAAATTGCCGAAAACTATGTATGTTTCACAAAAGACTGTAAACGTTATTGCGCCGTTTCACGTACCCTCACGTGCGATGAGGATTCTTTTTATTTTATTTATTGCGGTTGTGAGGAACGGTTGTACCCAAAATCTTTTTCTTCTCTTCTCTCCTCATTATGTTATCTGTTGTGTTCTCTCTCTTCTATCTTTTACTGCTTATCTCTACTTTCTCTCCAATGACTATATACCCATCTCTTTCTCTTTTTCTCTCCTCTCTTCATATTTTTCTCATTTCAAGCAGAGAGTCTAACAATCAATACTTTCCTAGACACTTTAGTGGACAGAGGAAAAAGAAAATAATGCAAAGCTGACCCCACAGCTGACCAAAACGTACCTACTGAACAACATTTTTTCTAAAATCTATCGTGTAGTTTGTTAAGATTTTAAGCAAATCGTGTTATAAAATGAAAAGGAAAGAGTTGTTGTATTTGAGACTTCGATTTATTCTCTCTAATTCTCTCATTTACAACATTCTCTGCTGTTTTTCTCTAGTTGTATAGCTAGCCTGAAACAGCCAATTCCTTCTGACTGCCAACAGACAGCAAACAAACTTAAGCAACTTTCATTCATTTTTTAAAAAACTTCTTTAAAATAGAAAAATAATTTATAATTAGCAGAGAGTGTAATGTTAGTATCAATTCATCGTCTCTTCTTCACAATATTTGTATTGATTTTGAGAGTTCAAAATGGTTTCGTTGAGTTTTTCTTTTTTGGAACAGCGGCAAAACTATTTTATTGTTTCTTTATTCTCGTTTCTAACATTCTGTACACTTGCTTTTATTACTATCGAAAATCTATTAATCAATATTCTATTCTTTTGTTGAAAAATTTTCTTCAAACAGCTGATGCCATATGAAGAAATACACAATTTGTGGTTGTCCTTAACATTAAGCTCTTTAACAACCTTGCCATCGAAACACCTCGTGACCTTCACAATTAAAGCTGTCTCGTTTTTAGTTTGTATGAAAATTGAAAGCATAAGATGAGGAGCAAGGCAAAAAGAATTCTTGAATAGCTTTTATATACCTGTGTTTGTTCGGGTCACTCTGAACACCAATCTTGTTGTGTTTGATTCACGGTTGAAAACAACACAGATTTGTTTTTCGAATGCTTGTTCTTATTCTTTATTCCTTCCACGATTTTATCAGTGATAGTTTCAATAAAGTAATATTTTTATCTTTCGTCTCGTTTATTTTCTTTGTTTACTCTTTAATTATTCCTTTTATCTCATTCTATTGAAGAAAAATCTCATGCGGTGGCTCCTGCTATTCCTGTTTATAACAGGAACATGGGCTGAAGAATGGGATGCTCAAAACTATCCAAACCCAACGGCAGGACAATTCAAAGTGAGTACTTCACCAAAATATGTAAGTAGAAGGTGTTGATTAGGAATGTAAAATGAGAACAACTGCTAATATTTGCGACCCAGACGGAGTCTTAAGTGAATCATCAAGATACCGACTTGACCACGACTTGAAACAGTTGGAGTCACGTACTCGTCAGGTATACTAGATCTCGTTGAAGAAGTTTTCATTTGTACATTCTCAGGATAATGCGCATAGTTTCTGTGATAAGAAAGGAGTCACAGCAGCCATGGCTGTGGCTCGGCACGTCAAGGGTGGATCAACTGATGTATGCATTTTGAATAAGTTAAATTTTCATAATACATTTGCTCAGGCCGTAAAGAGAATGGCTAATGATATGTTGAGAAAGTGGACGTTGGATAACCAGTGCCAGAAAGCGATCGTTATAGTGGTGAGCATGCAGCGATGCTCATTTTCTTCTATCGGAATCACGCTTCCTGTTATTTCTTAGGTTTCAACAGACGACATGAAGTTCTGGGTCGCTCGAGATGATAAAGTTCCGGTATATGCCGAAGAATTTACTGAAATATTCATGCAACAAGTATTTCCGAAAAGGCTAATAATATATCACAAATCTTACTTCATTGTAGAAGACATTGTTCCAACAATCGAACTATCAACAAGCTTTAACGAACATTCTTCAGGCAACTTGGTGAGCCTTGTAACAAACGTTGTTATCTTAACTCTAAGAAATGGCGATATAAAAGAAAGTGTTTAGGGAAAAGTCTTTATCAAAAGCTGGTAGCCCCAGAGCACCTTCTGGTTCCGGTGGTAGAGGTCAACAAGCTCCTGGATTCAATGAAGGAGGAAGTGCTGGAGGCATTGGTGGAAAAGGTGGTGCAGGTTGATCACTTTGAAACTTCAATGATCTCATATTAATAAATTAAGGACAGCCATTTAAAATGCCATCAATACCATCTTGGGTATGGCTAGCACTTATATTTGTCGTCATTCCAACATTGTGTTGCTGTTTGTGCTGCTACTGCTGTTGTTGCAGATCAAAGAATGGAAATCAAAACGGGCCCGCTTCCGGTTCGTTTTCGCTCTCTCCTTGTTTCTAACTTTACCTCAAGGTGCAATGAATGATGGTGGCGCGCAACCCAGATCAGGCGGTGGAGGAGGAATGTTTGGAAATCTTCTGCGAAGTGGCGGTGGAGCCGCTGTTGGATCTATGATAGGAAATTTCATCTCTCGAAGAGGTTCCTAATTTTCATGAATAGTTGTGAAACAGTATATTAAGGTGCTGGTGGCGGCGGCGGCGGCGGAGGATTTGGAGGTGGCAATAGAGGACAAGGATATCAAGGAGGTGGAGCTTATCCATCTGAGCCTCAGCCTGTATATGACGATAACGGTGGACAAGGTGGTGGTGGTTTATACCCATCAGTAGCGAAGAAAGATGAAGGTGGAGGAGGAAGTTGGGCGTAACTTCCTCATGTCTCTGTGCTCTGTATCAAAGCTTATTATGAATTGTAAAAAGTTATAGATGATGCTTTTCTCTTTCGGCATTTCAAAAAATGCCATCTCCCTTATGAGTGATTGTAATAATAAGGCTAAAATCAAAAGTTTAATAAAAAATATTTAAACGATGTTTTAGTTAACTATTCATAACTGCTCTCGTGAGCAGATGGAAATTTGTGATTGTGAAAATTTTTGAATTCTCTTCGAATTCTATGCTATTTAGAGATGTGATTCGGTCTCATTAATACATAATTTTTTTTCATTTCTGAACGCACTAGAGGGAAGTCAAGCTCAGACAAGTTTGCTGCATTTCGCACATTTTCTTAGTTATATGAAGTAATTTCAAAGTATCTCTTTCTTTCATCTGTATTGCATGTCATTTTTCAACATTCTAACACTATTCGCTTCACTTATTTCATTGATTACTTTTGATAAGATTTCAAGATAGTTTTGTTTTTCATTTTGCATCATTTGCATAAATGCATTTGAGCTCCATATATTTTCTCACGTGTAGTCCACGTGAAAAGCGAAAAGCATTCTGTGACACTAAGACGTAAAGAGCGGTTGTTCTTTAATTGTTGTTTCTCTCGCACACAATTATTTCATTCACGTATATTGGCTAATAACTTTTGTAAACTTTTATTGTTAATATCATATTTTTCGTTTCTGATCATTCCCATTTCGCCAAAGTTCTCGTTTCACTTTACAGATCTCACGAACGTTTTCCTTATCTTATTTCTACTTCGTGAAGAAATCATGGGCTTATGCTCCAGCACGGAAGTAGACAAAGGAGCCCGGGCTGCTCACGAAAGAATCGAAGCTGGTTTACGTGCAGAGCGAGCACAACACCAAATCGCTATGAAAATTTTATTATTGGGAGCCGGCGAATCAGGCAAAAGCACTGTTTTAAAACAGATGAGGTAGTCCTGTTGTTTATTTATCTCCTCTTCTTTTCGAGCAACTGTTTTTAACTAACTTCCTTGCACAGAATCATACATCAAGATGGGTTTCCTGAATCGGAGAAAAGATCAAGAAGATCTGCCGTTTATTCCAACACGATTGGATCTATATGTATGCTATTGAATGGAATGAGTCATTTATCTATTGACCTATCTCCTGAACTTTCGGTATGTGAACCTTCAATTCAAATCCGCATCTGTCATATGTTTTTTCCATCTATAGAAGGATGCTATGTTCGTTGAGAGTGCCTCTCTTCAAACACCCGAAGATTTACTCTTCACCTCAGTGAGATTCTTCTCAATCATTCAAATTACTAAAATCTCCACTCTCCCAGGAATTAGCCGAAGCTATCAAGCGATTATGGAAAGATGATAATGTTCAACAAGCTTTCGAACTCCGCAGTCAATTTCAATTGAATGACTCCGCCCCATAGTCAGTGAAATAACAGAGAGAAGAGAAATTATAAAATGAAACTTTCAGTTTTTTTGAAGCGTTGGATAGAATATCAAAAAAGGATTATGTGCCAACAACACAAGATATACTAATGACAAGAGTTGAAACTAGCGGAGTACAAGAAATTTGTTACTCCTATCAAAACATTTCATTCAGGTTTGTAAAATTTGAAATGTTCACGCATGTTCAAATATGAGCAACTGAAACAGCGTTTCAAATAACAGCAATGATTCTGCTCTTGCTGATAATTTGAGAATGATCAGAGACTGAGAGAGACATTCAGAATATTCGACGTAGGAGGTCAGAAGTCAGAGAGACGCAAATGGATTCACTGCTTTGATAATGTGAACGCAATTTTATTCATTGTTGCCATATCTGAATATGATCAACAACTACGTGAAGATAATAAAACTGTAAGTGAGAACTAAAAATATTTTTCTCAAAACTTCAAATCTATTAGAATCGAATGAAAGACTCAATGATGCTATTTACCGATATAGTTAACAGTGAATTTTTCAAGTATGCTCAGGTGAGATTGATAAATGGCTTTTTCTCACACTTTTCCAATTACCTATTTAAGGTTATTTTGTTTTTGAATAAAAAAGATTTGTTTGCGGAAAAGATCAGCAGAGTACCGATGACCGTGTGTTTTTCTAAATACAAAGGTACGTAATTAGACTAATTATGAAATGAGAACATGGCTTATTTTTCATTTCAGGCAAGAATACATATGAAGATGGAACAGCATTTTTAGAAAAAATTTTTATAAGAATGAAGAAAGATGATGATAAGTTGTTATATATTCATCTGACTTGTGCTACGGATACTGGTCAAGTAAGCATTTTTCTCTTTTGCAGTTCCTGCTTTAATGGGAATATATGTTTCAGGTGCAGTTTGTTCTCAAAAGTGCTGCTGACATGATAATATCAGAAAATTTTCGATCAACGGGGGTTGTTTGAGCTTATGAATATTCACTTCAAAAAGTATTGGGTTAACTCTTCTCAGCCTCACATGAAGACTCGTCCGAACTTTTACATACATATGATATGGTATGCGTCCTTGATGATTATTTTGAGTCTCTCTTGACTTGAATTGCTTGAAATCAATTTATCAAGTTCCATGTACCTACTATGATGTTACATTTAGTCAAAAGAGAATACGTTATATGTATATGATATGCGAACGCCGTAATAAAGCTATTTCCTTGTTAAAACAATTTTCATTTACTGAACAATGGACTGTTGTGTTGATGCCCTTGGGGCGCTTGACAATTCGCCTTTTTACATTGATTTTCTCTTTTATAAGTAGAAATTTAAGTGAAGCTAGCCAGGCTATGACCTTATGGCCGACGTCGGTCATGTAGATCTCTTTCTTATGAACAGGTCTTCTGCCAATTAAAAAAAATAATAGAAATTGCATCAGGGGCTGAGAGAGAGAGAGAGAAGAAAAAGAAGAGAAGTGTTTAAGATATTGCCGTTTGCCCGTTTCTGCCAAGTTTCTGAAATGCTCCTACCTTCAGCTATTGTCTTCCCAAGTCAAGTTACATGACCACTCATAAGGAAGTCTTTCGAATTTCTCTTCTGGTTCTCGATTTTATTCAGTTGTGTTCCAGTTAATGATGAAGCCCTTACTGTCATCAATGAACGTCATCGAACTATTTAGATGACGTTCCAATGGAGGTTTCTTTTGAGTAACACTCACTTCATCTTAACATCTAGAATATCTCTAATTTACTTTCACCCTTTCCCTTTTACCCCTCAAAACATTAGAGAACGAAATCATTAAGGAACTGAATTTTGACCTTAATCATCTAACTTTCTATGATTCTTCTCATTTCATTTCCAATCAAATGGTATTTTTCTTCGTTTTTTTCTGCAATTGAAAACAAACCCCTTCTAAACCGCTTCTTATTATTTGTTTTTTTTGTTTAAAACAAACAATTTGATTCAATTCCAATTAAACAACTAACTTCTTCCAACTTTGTCATTAACATACGTGAAAAGCACGTGAAAGTCATTTTGACCAGAAAACAGGCAGCGAAACGGTTGAGCCTCTGTCTCTCACCCATTTCCTACAAAAATTTTTTCTCGTCTCTTCTCTTCATCTTATTCCCCTTTCTCCTCTTTCTCTTTCAAACTTTTTCTTTTCACAATTTTTTTCTTTCATTTTTCCCTTCTTATAACTTTCCTATTTCAACGAATGATTTGATGCTAATCTCAAGTTTCTCGTTTTTTTCTCATTGCGATGTAGGCAATAACCGAATCTCGACTACTGAATTTCTTTACAAAAAAATTCAACAAAAAGTTGTCTTCAACCCTATATGAACAAACGATTCAGAATAAATTTACTTTTTATTTCATCAGATTTTTGATTCAGTTGCTATAACTTGCAGAATGTCCAAGAATTTTTGCGTTTTCTTCTTCTTTTTACTCTCTCGCTTGCCCTCTCTCTCAGCTCTCTCTCTCTATCTCTTTTGTAAAACAGTAACGATAAGATGAGAAATTCTGTCAGAACATTTACCATTTTTAGAGGTTTCTATTGCATTACAAACTAGCTTCAAAGCTGTATCATCTTTTTTCCATTTTTTTGTGTTTTCATACAAAAAAATCATTAACTGCTTGTACGTTGTACTTAAAAGCTCTTCGGTCATGTTGATGCTATGTTTGTGAAAGGTGAATGAGAACGTCCAAACGAGGATTTTTGATCTTCACAAAACGACTCGTTAAACGTCAACTCTTTTATCTGCTAAAGCTATCAAGTCCCTTATTCTTCTGGATAATACAATTCTTATGAACAAAAAAAGAAATATGTAATGTAGTTCATGACAACATCTGATTCATTGCGAGTCTTCTTTTTTGTGTTCACATGTTCAGAGAGTATCATAGAACTGTCACCTATTCTATCTTGAGGTGGTCACTACTACCCGATCATTTACAGCTTGAGACAGAAGTCTTTTTCGTACAGTCAAGACTACTTCTTGCTGTGCCACTCATCTCCTTCATCACCAGTTGTACTATTATTATGACAATCATTTTTTGTATTAAGTAAAACTATGATTCACAAAACTAGAACTTGGCATTCCATAAACGTCAAAGCTTCTTCTAGCTGTAATCCAGTCTACATTTCTTTCAAATTTTCATCATTTTGTCCTCGTCGTCTCCAGTGAAAGATCATATCTCGAGACGACCTTCTAGTGACTTCAACCTGCTGCCAAGCATGATTAAGACAAGTAGAAATGACGCTTTTCTCATCCATTCTACTTGTTTTTTTGCAGCTTTTTTCTGAAAAGTTCGAAAGTTTCAATAGTTTGCATTCTCTCTCTGTTTATTCCTCTAAAGTAGCTTCTTCGTTTCAATCTACGGTTTTTGCTTCCCGCCTTTTTAATAACACGTCTACAATCTATCATCTCATTTGCATGAAGGTGTTTATCTTGTTTTCACGTGAATGTACGTCATATTCAATCTAGTCGTTCAAACGAACGGTTGAGCTTCATTATTATTCACAAGCTGAAACATTTTTTTACACAATTATACTTTCAGATGTTATTTCTAACACTTTCAATTCTTGTTGTTCGAACATTTGCTTGGCCCGATGGAGCCCCATGCGTTCATGCTGCTTTTGAGAGTATGAACCCTCTTGAGGCTGTGGAACATCAAGGCGGACTACAGGTATAGTACATGTTTCATTGATGTTCTATAACTATTACGTTTCAGCTAACATCCCCTCCATATGAGATCAAAGTTGATCAAAAATGTTACTGGAGAAACCAGCCAATTGCTCGTAAGTTTCAACCTTTCAATTTCAGTTTTCACTTTTAAGTTCTTGACCAAACCTCTACCACAAAAGAAGTTTTTGCACGAGAAACACTTCATTTGAGTTTTCGTTGAAGTTTCAACAACTTTTAAAGTTTCCTTCTGTTCGTTCAATTACGTTTTTAGTTACATTACAAGGAATAAATGATACTATCTGGTTCAAAGGGTTTGTTATTCAGCCATACAGGTGGAACAACGATCAACTCGGACCAAGGCTTGTGACATGAATATCAATGCTTTTTGAACTTTAATATTCAGAATTGGACAGATTGTTAGATTGGATGACAACGGTTCATGGAGGCAACAATGTTTCACGTAAAAAACCATATTCTGCAATATGACAAAGAGTTGTTGCAGAGAGAAGGCTTCTGCAACTCATTCCCACAACGAGAAGAAGAAACACATGAGAATGTGGTGGAAAGTAGATGATGAGTCTGATACCGTCCAATTTGTGTATGTTATTGCTTTCACATTATAATATCGAACTTATCGATTCATTTTCGAACTGTTTCCGTTTAAGGGCTACCGTTGTTAAACATCAAACTATGTTCTGGGTAAGATCAGTTGTATCAAAGCCAATACCACCATGTCGGTTGAACCGTAATGGATTTGATGACTATTCGCCTCCACTTCCAACACAACCACCTCCAGTTAAAGGATTCAAAATGGAGACAAATCGCTTTTTCGGAAATGATGGAAATTTAGCAGTTGGAGTACGTGAGAGACATCAAAACAGTTTCGGACGATCTTCGAGTCGTTCGTCATTCGGATGATTTAATTATTTTTTTCGTATTTCGTTATGCTTATTTTAATTTAAGTTGCTTACATTTCAGCTTTTCGTATCGCTTTTAGTTTAAACGAGTTATTCTCATATTCTGGCTTTCATCGTCGTCTTTCAATCTGAGTTTGAAACTTCTTGGATTAGCTCTTGTCTTTCTGCTTTTTCTTTCAAAAACTAACATTCCATTTATGTTCATTTATGTTATTAAAATCGTTTTTTTTGCTTTTAAATGCTTCTGCTAGACGTCTTGATAGATGATAGAAACAAATTATTTTTCTACTGATCGAGTAGATCATACAACACGGACAGAGTAGGCCACAGCTTAAGCTTAGCTTGTCAATATGAAAACTAGATCTCCTGTTATATCCTTCATGTCTAATTAGAACTTGTTCAGCCTTTCCTCCTCACGGAGAGCACCACACCTCGTCCAACACTACCAACAACTGCTTTTGTTCGCGTAAGCTCCAAGATATTATACAGACCCAATGACAAACCCTTATAGCCAGTATCTACTTCACCCCGCATGCAGCAAATTATTCCACTAGAAGATTTACAAGTTCTCGGTCGACGTATGTTTCACAGTTACGAGTATTACATTAACCAAACACTTTCACCAACAAGTTCATAGAATAGCTTGATTAGAAACTTCTGTCACACGGACTCATATAGTTTCGAGCATTATACGCTCAATCACCCCACCGTTTCTTACTACACATTAACGAGTGAAATGTTTGTGTTGCAACAAACAGAGTGTGCCCGTGTTTCAGATAAATTCAATACTCAACCCCATCGTCATTCAATTGACAGTACAGCTCTACGAGTTATTCCAGTTACTACCCAAACATCTGCGTTTACCCTGCCAATACAAACAACAACAACGCCAACAATAACGACAACAACACCGGAACAAAGGTTTCGTTCTAATTTAATTACCTGTGATGAATATCTAATTAGAAACGTTCTGCGAACAAATGGACAATTGACACAATCTCAACAATTCCAACGACAGCGGCTCATTGCTTCCAACCGACGATTCCAGAATAAGTAAAGAGTAGTTCTTTTCGGTTCTCTCATCAATATGATTTTCAGCGGCAGGAATCAACCAAGACCTGTGTTCCGGCCTGTGCCTAACAACCAAGGTGAGTTATCCCATTTCTCTTTATCTTCAACATATTAATTTCTTTCAGTATGTGAAGACAGAGATTCAATCTTCCGCTGTCAGCAATGGATACAATTCTGCCGAACTCCGCGATCATTTGCATATCTTAGCATTAACTGTAGAAAGACTTGTAGATTCTGCTAAGAAACTCATATTTCCATGTTCTCACTTATGAAAGATAATTAAAGGCTTTAAGATAATTTTTTTTCTATTTTCTAATCTATGGATACAAGCGTTCAAGTGCGAAAAGTAAACAGGAAGTGATGAGAATCACGTGAACGCAATCGACGTGGAAAATAAATTATGCTAATGAAGCGTAAAAAAGTCTAGCTCACAATTATTAGTTATAAATAGCCTCAAAGAGATAATGCCTCGCGCGTCTCTTTCAGTACAGCATTCCTTTCGTCTTCATCGAAATACAAGTCATGTACTTTGTGGAGAGCTTCCTTACATTCACTAAAATATGTAAACATTAATCTTTAAAGTTCCATTTACGACTCACTGATAATAACTTCCAGACTTGACCTTTTTTGATAAGCAAATGTACATCGGTGTTTGAGCTCCGTCATCCGAAGACTTCAATATATACGCTATGATGACTCTGAACAAGATGATCAACCATTTAATCATTGATATACTAACTGTAGCCATGTGTACAAGAAGAATCTAAAAGTTCCGTTGTTTAGAATGTTTGTGTGTACATTTCCAGGATGACAACAAAAAACTCTAACATTTGAGTTTTTCTTTTCTAATTCATCAGAGAACGCTTTTGTAGCCAAAACCTGAGATACAAACTTTGAATAGGAAGAGAAATCTGTCTCACTTGAGCTAATTTACTTCTATTGTAAGTGTTCATTCCGGCTAACGTGTGTTCATTGATGTCGTTCATGACGTTTCGTCTGAATGATCAAGACTAAAAAGTGATCTCTGTAATTTCTGTTTACCGAGCATTCTTAGGGACCAAATGAGCAATGGAGCTCACATTAACAACTCTGGGGTCATCTGATTCTTCCAGAAGAGGAAGAAGTTTTTCTGTCATCAAATGGTGAGCTGCAAAATCATGTTGTTTTCATATTTTCTATTTACTCATACCTAGGAAATTTGCTTGATAAGTGAGTTCGTTACCATCTTTGGTCAATGTGAAAATACGCTGTGCCATGATGCCAGCATTACAAACCAGAATATCCAATTTTCCCACATCTTAAAAACTATTCCATTCTCCAACAACAAAGCGGTTCAAACAACCTCTGATGAAGTCGTCACAAAACTGATGAACCGTGGAAAAGTCTGATAGATCTGCATATTTGACAGTCAGGAGGTGTGGATCGCATCCAGCCTAAACATAATTTGAAGAAAATGAGCAGTCGACATTGAACCTGAATCAGATCTTTGCGTGCTTTCACCCCTTTTTTTTGATCTCTACAGACCATGTAGACATGTGCTTTTCGAAAGCACAGGTGTTTCGTGAGAGCTTTGCCTTCAAATTGCTCAATAAAATATCTCATAAATAGAATCAAACCTATGCCACAGTTTGCTCCGGTTATTATGACTGTTTTGCTGTTTGCCATTTCCTGTTCTTCGAACTGCGAACCTTTTATGTACTTCCTCAGCTTGTATAGGGAATAAACGGAGAATATGATTGCAAAGACATTGAAGAACGTAAAATGCATGTGCAGCAGTTTCGTGAACCTGAAGACATCATTGTCTGTGTCCTCATCAGTCTTTTCATAAACTTACAGATAGTGAAGAAGGAAGGGCAACGCCAAGTTAATAAGTAATACTAACGACAGTTCCGTAACAAATCCAATGTTAAGAAACATTCTGTTCTAGAATACAAACATAAGTATTTGGATTGAATATGTAATACACTACTTTGGAAACATTGAAGTTGACATCGTGATGAGAGGAGCCCATGATAGGATATGAATGAATTGCTTTTTCTGTACAAAATACCAAATATGGTGTAACGTTATTTACTTTAAGAAAACGTTAAGTGTCGTGGAAAGAATTATATGTAAGTTCCGACATTGTTTTTGATTTGTTGAAGAAAAAAAACTTTGGAGGCATGGGAGTTTTCATTATAATTCCATAAAATGAACAGAAGGCAAAGTGCAAAGTTTGAAGATTATTGCTTTGTATGGAAATATGATGAAGTTATTAAAACAAAAATCATCTGTGTGTGTATATAGTGAGCGTTCTGATGATAAGCTGTTGATTCCTTGTAATCTTAACAAGAGGTTTATCAGTTCTATACAATAAATTCTTAAATTTTCTAATCAAATCTGATTAGAATGGACTCGTTTTTTTAATATTTAAATAAATTTGAAACATATGTTTTCATTTTAAATATATGTATGCCGAGAGAGGAGAGAGCAGCATGCGCAATACAAAGGTTAGGGATATTGGAGTGCAGCTACTGTTCCATAGCAACTAATGACAGGCTTCATCTCCTAGATTATTACAATCGGGAAATTACTATTTAATTTATAATCATTCATGATGAATCAAGTTTACAATAGAAGTATTGTTCCAGCGAAAGACAATTCAAATCGTGTAATGGTGGGACGAACACACCGTCCGTACGCTGAGAGTAACTCTGAATATAAAAACAGTTTCTGTGTCATAGCTAGCTTGAAACATACACATTCTTTAACTTCACGTAACCTTAGACGACGGTTCTTGTTGGTTTGTTCTGAGACCGGTAAACCTCAAATGATCGATTACCACAGTTTTCAGTATAAACACCCTCACTATCAAGAAATTGCTTCTCTTTAGCCGAAGTAGATTTGACGATAGTTGAATTGAGGCTCTCACAAACAGTCATAGCATCCTTTTCAGTCTGCCCTTCTCTCAAGCGAAACATCTTTCAAAGCAAGTGTGAGCATTTTTATGTCATGTTCTTACCTTGTAACAACTTTTCTCAAATAATCTCCATTCATCATTAGTGCATTTGGGAATGGTTTTTGGTTCTAAGAAGATTTATGATTGACCGGAAAATGAAAGAAAAAAACCTTTCTTTAGGAGTGGTATATCATTTGATAAGATAACCATAACTATATCAGTATAATTACTACTAGATGATAGAAGATCTGGAAGAACCATCGTTTCATTTAATTCGATCATGTCCACTGAAAGGTAGAAGGTTAGTATTCTCGTATCGGTTCAACGGGCACAACCGCTTCAAGCGTCTTTGTAATCTCGAAATGAAAAGCTCTTGGCAAACCACTGCCTGTATATGCTAATTTGCCAAATTAATAGTAACTTACGTGTTTGGTGGAGGTCATCTAACTGTCTCACACAAACAGAAGGAAGATAGTTCTGGCAAGAAAAGCTCACAGGGTATTTGGCTGTCAATGTCTTACAAATAATTTCTTGTCCTGTGGAAAGACATAGATTAGCATCATGAATTACACAAACCATTCCTAGATAGTTCCTTTCGTAGCCAATACTGATATTTCAATCCGAATTCACTTTTCATCATTCCTATTATATAGATCATCTTTTTTTCTCAGTCATAGGGAGAAACGAACCACTGATGAAGCGACGGTCAGGTGAATTCGGATTTTCTTCTAGGAACATTCCCAAGCTCAAACAATGATCTCTGGACGCATCGAATGTTCGAGGAAAAGTAATAGAGCGGTAGCATCTGAAGTTTTCAATCCATATTCAGAAGCATGAAACTTCGAATACTTACCTACGATATTGAGTACTATAAACATCATAGTCTGGTGAAGGGCACGGATTGTATTCAGCTAAACAAGAAATGAAGAATACAAAGGCTAGATATAACATTTGATGAATGCAATACTACCTGGCGTTTGAGCAACTGGTGATTCGCACTATAAAATTTTGCGGCCATAAAACGAATTATAAGAAGCTACAACAATTGTTCTGATGGAAGCTGAAAAAATAACTTTACTGTTTCATTACGAACATAAAAGCTAGGTAGAAAAAGTTTTTCCTCAATCATATTATCATACAAGTGATCTGTATACTGGTTTCATACCGCATCAATACGTATCATATCTGTCCGTGCCCTTCCAGGTTATCGTTTTCGCTTTCATCTCTATTTCTCTCAAAAAAATATGATCATCGCTTCCATTATTCGTCCAGTTTCTCTAATTCTTACCTTTCATTACGCGTTTCTTGAAAAAGGAGTTCGTTCCCATTTTCGTCTGATTTGATCTGCCCTCTTCTATTCATCTTCAAATATTCAATACTTTTCCAATCCCAGACCCAGATATCCATTTCTATTCTCTTAAAGAAAAGAAACATTGTTTGTTTTAAAGTGATGAAACTAACAACTTTTTTCATTTTTTCTATTTTTGGTAAGTTGCTTTGAGTTTTTTTTGTTTCATGTCATTCTTGTGATCACCCGGTGAGACACAGTAATGTCTCAATATACCTGTTCTACCAAACATTTTTTGAGAATGTTATCAAAATTTTTACACATTCATAAGTTCTCTCTTACAATTTATTACTTTAGTCTCTTTCCGCTCTACGAATGCCTTGGAACTGGAGTTAATGAGACGTTTTGTAGCCGAATTTGCTACAGAACTACAAAAAGAGCTAAAGGAAATCCCTGAATTTATATCTGCTCCTGATGAAGAAGGAAGTGGACAGTTCAATGAAGTAGAACACTTCCTCTTTCCATGGCTTTTAATAGATTTTCAGGTTGCTCTTAACTTTGATAACAACGAAATAGCTGACACAAGCGATTTGGAAGCCATAATTTCTTCGTCGGAAGCTCCAACAACAACAACCTCCGAGACAACCACAACCTCCGCAACTACCACAACCTCCGCAACTACCACAACCTCAGCCACCACCACAATTACTACAACAAGGAAGAAGTTAGTTCCCGTTTGTGTTGCAGGGACCGAATGTGTAGATGACAGAGAATGCGGGTCTTTATTCCATCGAGTGAGTAGTTAAAAGAGGCTTCAGTCATGGTATCCACTTATAGACCAATCGGTGCTTGGGTTCAGCACTAGGTCGCTGTAACTGTAATGCTTGTGTAGGAGAAATTGCCTGTGAGTCAGACGCTGACTGTGGGGGTCTGAGAACTGCTTGTCGAGAAGGTTCCTGTCGTTGTTCTCAGGTAAAAAAATTATTCGACATTGAACCGAATGCCCGTATGTATTCCTTTGATTGATTGAAAGAACTTCTGAATGTTAACCTTAGAGAAGAAAGAACAAACATCCAAAACACTGATTTCACACTTCCAGGCTCTGAACGAACATGGCTTCTTCTACATGATTGATGCGATACTCAACTTCTGTAACCAAAAGAGATGTCAAGTGGGGGGAAATGACTGTCACGGACTACCATGTAATGTTGGTCGATGTAAATGTCACTAGTTTTTCCGTAATAATCATGCGGTCATTAATAAGTAAAGCTATATTAAAATAGAAAATTTTTATTTTCACATTCGTGAAACCCGTTGAAATGCGCAGGAAATCTACGCGATTCTAACATTTGAAAATAAGTCTACATGAATCACAATTTCTATCACACAAACCCAAAACCAGCCAAAACATTTGGTAAAACAATTATGAAAGATTGAAAGATATGTTGTTAGATGAACCATTAGCATTGGGTACAAAAGGCAAGAGAATCTATTAGACATTTCCGTAATCGGAAATGTGGGAATTGGGCAAGATGACAATATATTCAAAAAAACTATAAAATCTCACTCTATTCATTATATACCTTGAAAGACGAAAGAATCATCGAAGTGACAATAGATGGCCCGAATTCTTTCTTTGGCAGGCTCGAAGTTTCCTTGTAATGAGAGTGTAGAATAATAAAACTCCAGAGCTTTTTGATAATCTCCCTGAAACAGAGTATTTATAGGCATCAGAAGTGTTTCAACTTACGATAGAAGCATAGATATTAGCTATAGTAAAATGTATTGCCACCAAGTTTGGAGAAGCAGAGAGAGCAGCTCCTGCGGTTATCAGAGCAGAGTTTAGAAGCCCTGCTTGATGACATATGTTAGCCAAAGAAACCTATAAAAGATATTTTTTATTGAAGTTATACATTATGAATCTAACCAAAACAACGTCACGCATATGATTAGGGGCCGTTTGTAAGGCACATCGCAAACAACCAACAGCTCTAGGAGCATCACCAACTACTCTCCAATACAGAGAAGAAAGTACGCATAATAACCAGTTAACATTTCCTTCTAGAAAGAAAAGATGAGTAAAAAATCAAGTTGGTCCCACTCACTTTGTCCTAAACCTTCAGCTAACATTGCAGTGTGTAATCTAGCAGCAACATGTTCTATTGAATCACGTTCATTTCCTAGTGATTTAAGAGCCTGAAAGAGTCGAAAATAATTCTGATGCTCGGATAATGTAGGTATATCATCACTAGTTAAGATCGTATTTTGTCCTCATGGCAATTGCTGGGAGAGGGATTGAACCCTTAACCCTCTAGTCGTACAAGCGACTCACTCAGTACACCACTGTTGTACATTTCTTCAAAATAGAATGCCCTACCTCAGTTAACATTTTTTCGGGTTTATAGAATAAAAACTGATCAGAAAGTGAAAATGCGGGTAGATGATCAAGACCCAATATGGGTGAACTGTTAGCCTCGCCTATAAAAAATGATAAATATGATAAAGTAGAGATTTGCTACCGATTTTGGGGCAAACAGGTTGTAAACCGGCAATGCTAGGTATAGGACCACGCAGATCAACGTATTTTTCGATGTCTTCTCCTTTAGCTGTGACAGATACCCAAGTTGAAAGATTTTCCAACAGAACGGATAACTTGAAAAATATATAAATGAACTTTTGTTTTTTCCAAAAATAAACCTTGTTAACTCCATTACACATGTTCAAGGTTTTTCGAGGGGGAGGGAAACGACTCAATCCTCTGTAAACAAGAAGGTAAGAAAAAACAAAGCACCGAAGACAAACTTTCGTATTTGATGAGGGAGAGGTGCTGGTAGAACATTTGGCAACTTCAAGTCCCACTTGAGCATTTCTTTTTTGTCTCGCACCCACAAGAATGATAGAGGCTTCTGAAAAACGTAGAGTTGTTATAAGTTCTTGGGAAATTATTCAGCTGACTGGAGGAATAGCAGCCAGATCACTTTCAGCTTCTAACTCCCAAGAATCGACCTCAGCTTCTCGTTGACCTTCATATCTGACTTCGTTCTGAAAAATCAGTATGAAACAATGATAAACAGTTTTCGCATTACCAAGGTGCTAGTCCACCAAAACGGAGGAGGCTTCAAAAAGAAAGCTGCTGAACCTCCATAATCAAGAGGCAGTTCTTTTGTTTCGACTGTTTGAACACCTCCCGTATCCTCTTCGAATAATGGGAAATCGTTTTTAGACACTGCAGACACAAAATCAAAACGTCAAAACAAACTAATCGAACCTGTGCTGAAGATCGGCAAGTACGGCGCAATAATATAGGCGTACGGTGGAGGTTTATAACTCAATCCCTCAAAACAAAAATCCTGCGTAAAAAAAAAAAAACTCAAACCGTGTAAATTCCGTTGCAGCGATGGTGCACAAGACTTTGTGTCTCTGGATCTACAACGAAGCACTGTTCTTCATAGTCATAATTCTGAACAAAAGATATATATGTAAATCAAAACTTATAGGCGATTCATACTCGGAAGCAGACAGCATTGTGAACATATGTTGAACAACACACTGTGGGGAACCTCGACGAAATGGCTGGTTTCGACCATTTTCCACTGCAGGCTACTTTGAGAAGATCTTCTGCAATTTTCTGATCTGATGGGTTACGATCCAGTGCTTCTTTGAATCTTCGAACAGCGTCATCGACTTCGGAGCGTAAGAGATGTAACCTTCCCTGCAGCCAAGGAATCAAAGGCTATAATGAAAAATAATTCAAAGGTACTGAAAAGTTTCCTAACTTGATTCCTACTGATTCCGTCAGCCATATCTAGCATATGAATAGCTTCGTCTCGACGACCCGTTGATGTATATAAGCTCTGGGCCAATTGCGTTAATGCGAAGTCGGACCAATCAGGCTGAACTCGAACTTCAGGATAAAAGAAAATAACTTATGTTACCTGCTCTGAGACTGCTTGCATCAAACACAAAGCAGTTTGTCTGGGATTTCCTTTTATTCTCCAATATGTACCAGCCAAGTTTAAAGCTATCCATTTGGTTCCCACGTTCTAAGAGGAAAGCATAATTCAGTATTCTTTGGCAAACTTACAGTGTACAGAAGTGTACGTATTCGTTGTGCTACTTCTATGTCTTCCATAATTCTACCGGCTAATCGAACGAAAGAAGTTTTGAGCTTAGACTCGCTGTGCTCAGGTTTAGATAGGTGCATATCCAACATTTCCACAACTCCTTTGAACTTAATAAACAAAACATACTAAATTATTCTGATGCATATCAAAACCGTGCTAAGAGGATGATTCGTTGAATCAACTTCGTCACAAAACGGCTCTTCCCATGGTAGAGGATGTTCATCGTTGAAACTTAATCCTATGAACGTTGTCAGATAATCTTCGATTCTGATAAGAGGAAGTGATGAAAAGAGTTGAAATAATTATACTTACTCAATATCTTGATTTTTGAATGACAAATTAATCTGAGGGAAACTCGCACGATCATACATATCCGACCTAGAGACTATAACTTGACAATCTATGCTGCTTGGCCAATCTGCCCTTCTCCAATATCTATTCCTGATTGAATGAAGAATATTTCTGAAAAATAGATACTTTAAGCTGACATAACTCGACAAACTCACGTTTTTGGAGATTGCCTACTGGTGATAGAAGCAATGTTCTCGGGATTCTCTTTCAGCTGCCTAATCTTCCTCTCGAAACTTTTATCTCGGGCGAATAATTCTACAACTCTCCAATTACTATCATTCAACTGAAGGATAACGTTCACGAAAACACAACACCCAATAGAATTACCGCTGGTCTATGTTTTATAGAATCTTTTCGCTTAACTTTCAGCGTTTCTTCGTAGAGCTTGAAATCGGTAACAGTACAAACAATGATAGCAGTGACATCATGAGGGTTGTTAGAAAAAACAAATCGTTTAGCAATTGTTTGAAAACACTCGGAATCTAGATGAAAATGAAGAAGCATAGAAGAATATTGAAACTTACAGGGATTGATTCCGTATTTTGCGATCTCGTAGCTAGCTTTCAGAAGAATACGATCTTCAGTTCTGATCGTTTTCTTGCCTACAGCACCTTCCATAGTTCTCTGAAAAATCAGACATAATTAAACTACATGATAGATCATCCCACCAAATTTTCATATATCTGATTGAAATGGCGTTTGTTTTTGACTAACTTTTCCAAATTACTCTGAGTCAAGAAAACTTGAAACTGTTAAAGGGAAACGACATACCTTCTGATATTCCAAATTAGAAGATAAGGCGAACATGCATTTGATATAAGATATTTTGAACTCAACGTTCTTGATAATTGATGGCCAATGTATAGGAACTTCTTCGAACAAGGCATCCTACAAATAGATAAATAAATTATATACAAGCCGAAATCCTAACCTTCTGTACTTCTATAGCTTTATTATAAAATTGTAAAGAAATCTTATGATTATCGCCATCTCTATTCGGGAACAGTAGAGTATGATACCCCTTTTCTCTGAAACGTGTTGTTGTACGAGATAAAAGAGAAAGTGCCTTACAAATTCATAGCTATATCCCCCGTAGCAGAGAAGAGTAAACTTTGGAAGCAGCTCGACGTTCCCAGAAGATCTCTACTCGAATAAATCCTCTGTGAAAACTCCGCATAATTTTTGACTTTAAATTTCTTCTCACCTCCATAAACTGGGCAGCATCGGTTGTTAGGAAAGCTTTGTGGAGAATATTAGCCATGGATAGCTGTATATATATGAATAGTCCGGGCAAGTACTTGTTGCTGTCTTCATTCGTACTGTAGATATACAGATTGGAGAATAAAAAAGAAAGAAACTCTTACTGCATATAGTATGCGGCGGATTGATAGCAATGAAAAGCGTTCTTGAAATCTCTAACCAAGCGCCAATACGCTGCAGCAGCCATATGTATATAAGGATTATGAGATATATTCTGAATAAGATTAATTGCAAAATATAATTTTAAAAAATAAACCTCATCTGGATGTCTCAATAAATAACGAAGTAGGTTTGGGAATTTGTTCATATCAGCACCTTTAGGAGCCAAATAAAACCAATAGATCTTTACAAGTTGCCTATATTTAAGATACTCGTCCATGTCTTCAATCGAACCAACGGAATCCATCTTCAAAGTTATACATTATCCTATTCAAAATGAATTTAAAAAGTTACATCGGTATCGCTAAACGATAGTATTGGATGGAAATGCGAACAAACAGGATCATCATCCTCCTCTTCGTATCGACCGTTCTTCAGTTTTTCTTTTACCGAACTAAAATCAAGAAGTCAATACTAATATAGCTTTGAAGCAAACATTATGCTGCTGATATGAAACTCAGGGCATGATTCGGCTGTATAAGTTGTGCGGAAAGAGTAATCATTCAAAGTTTTAGGATCTATCGATCTACAGTTGGGATCATCATTCCTTATACGTTCTTCTAAATCAGGCTCATCATCCTCTTCTCGTTTGTCAATTTCCTTCTAAAATTGGAAGGAATTATTGGGGATCCCACTGAAGTATGCAAATACCATTGTCGACTTCAACTCATTTGAAGCTTCCCCTAGTACATTCATGTTATCGAATTGATCAAGGAAATCGAGTAAAGATCCAGGGTATATGATAGAATAAGGACTGTCTTCCTTTAATACAAGAAGATTTATTCATGAAATTTTTTCAAGAACTTACGACTGCCTCAATTTCCTTGCCATTTTCACTAATCCTCCAATAATGAACAGCTACAATATCATTGAATAGAATACAAAATATATATAGTAGAGCCCATTTCCGACGGTCAATCATGCTTTGTTTTAGGTGAACTCCGTAAACTCATAGAACCCTAGAAATGCAAACTGTGACAAATCGACGTATAGGAGTTAGACGAATATTTTAGATTGAGAAGAGCCACTAAGAAAACTCAAGGTGTTCCAGGTGTCCTTGAAGAGAACTAACTGTTGGTACGCAATTGCGACGAGCTATACTATCGTAGCCGTGACCCAGATCAAGATGTAAGAAATTCATTAACTTCTGATTCCGATACCCACACCAGAAGCTATCATACTTTCATAACTCTCGAGCCTTAGCTCGCGGGAACTATACTCACAAATCTATATATTATTGGGAAGTTTGCTAGTCAGTTATCATTTGATTCAGATCGAACACAAATTAAATTTGTGATAGCAGCTTGTGTTTGTAACAAACTGAAATGAGAAAACACAGATTGATAACTTGTTTACTCATTAACTGAACAAAGTTGAACACACAGTATACCTCTTTGCATGCAAACATACTTCAAGATCCTTTTTTTCATCAAATGACTATATGCAAATGAGTTGAACCCATCTATAAAACGAGAGTTTGAATTGGAAATTTATTGGAGAAGTTGAACACAACCGCATCATAGAAACCTTTCTTAAAATGACGCGTTCATACACATTAGCATACAATCAATCAATAGTTCAACTACATGATTATTCGTTGTAAACAAAGTCTGACAACCCATTGAGAGTCATTAATAGATGACAAAACTGTTCTGAGAAAATGTATTACTATATCCGAAGCTTTAACTTTATAATATGAACCTTCTGTTTCTTCTTTCTAAATACGGAGTACTGTAAGAGGAAATGATCATTTCTTTTGCGTCTCTATTTTTGGTCAAACGCTCTGACGCTCTTCCATCTGAAGACGCTAAGCAAATTTCTTCTAGGCCATTGAATGTTCCAAGCTTCACAAGCTTTCGAATATGATTTTCTAGAAATAAAAGAGTTATTCCACTTATTTCGATAGAAACTCGTGTTTTTGTTTCTTTAATGTTTGTGCGTGCTCGGTGCCTTTTTATGAGTCATCAATCGTATTCTAATTTTTAATCTATACTTTCAATTCAAGAATTTTTTTGTTCCAGGCATTCTCACTACGGAAGTAGGGCTATGGATTCTTCCGGCCGAAAAATTATTGTTGTTGATAATGGATCCGGGGTTTGTCACTTTGTTTCGATCATCTTAATAATTCCTTTTTGAAGTTTGTAAAATGTGGTTATGCTGGAACTAATTTTCCCTCACATATCTTTCCTTCCTTGGTAGGAAGACCTATTGTTCGCTCATCACAGCGTGTAGGAAACATTGAAGTTAAGGTACGTTTTAAGTTCTAATGTACTGAGTATAACAAGCTGCTGTAGGATCTAATGGTAGGAGAAGAAGCTTCACAACTCAGACAAATGCTTGATATTTCTTATCCAATGGATAATGGAATTGTTCGAAACTGGGAAGATATGGCTCATGTTTGGGACCACACTTTTGGTCCTGAAAAACTCGATATTGATCCCAAGGTATGTTTTCCTTCTGACTTCTCTTCTTCCTTTTGTGTTTCCCTACCTCAATTAAAGTCTTATGGAGGAGATTTGTCGTTTGTGTGTTTGAGAACAACATGTTTCTGTTTTTAAGGATTGTAAATTGCTACTTACTGAGCCACCGTTGAATCCCTTATCGAACCGTAAACGGCTTTTCGAAGTTATGTTCGAACAATACGGATTTCATTCTCTTTACGTCGCCGTCCAGGTACAAAAGTTCCAGTTTTTGTATTTCATCCATTGTTCCTAGGCTGTTCTCACACTTTATGCTCAAGGATTACTTACTGGAGTTGTTGTTGATTCAGGAGATGGTGTTACTCACATTTGTCCTGTGTATGAAGGATTTGCTCTCCATCATCTCACAAGACGTTTAGACATTGCTGGACGTGATATTACCAAATATCTCATCAAGGTAGTTTTAATAACTTTCTTCTTCTTCATATCATATGTATAGCTGCTATTGCTTCGTGGTTACAACTTTAATCACTCCGCTGATTTTGAAACTGTACGTCAAATGAAGGAGAAGCTTTGCTATGTCGCCTACGATATTGAACAAGAGCAGAAGCTTGCCCTTGAAACTACAGTTCTCACCCAGAATTACCAAGTAAGAACAATTTTAATGATCAGTGAGCTAACTATACTCTTATTAAGTTACCCGATGGGCGTGTAATAAGAATTGGAGGAGAAAGATTTGAAGCTCCTGAAGTTCTGTTCCAACCTCATTTAATCAATATTGAAAAGCCGGGACTATCTGAACTTTTGTTTGGATGTATCCAATCTAGCGACATTGGTATAGTCATGTTTCATATTTTGATGTAACACTGATCTTTGCAGATACTCGTCTTGATTTTTATAAACATATCGTTCTATCCGGAGGAACAACTATGTATCCTGGACTTCCAAGTCGTTTGGAACGGGAGTTGAAACAATTATACTTCGATCGTGTTCTAAAAGGCAATGCTGAAGCCTTCCAGGTTTGTTATAATATATTCTACACAAATGTTATACTTAGAAGTTTCTCTTTGAAGCTCAATGTTTACTGTGAGCAATAGTATTCTACATTATATTATTTGCTTTTGCGTGCGTCGTGCATAAGCTTAGATTAGAAGATGAAGATGCTTTGTGACAAAATTTTTACATTTTATCTCCTTTTTACTTGTATGTTCTCCCTCTTCATCTTTTTTTTTTGCTTATTTTTTGCCAACCATGTATGGCCTTCCTCTGATGGTCGTGTTGAAGTTGTCCACGAGGTTGTGTGTACATAGCTTCGGTTAATCGACTCCACAAACGCGCCATAAAATTCTTGCTTGGTTAAAGAACACCATTTCGGTCTTAAAACTTATTAGATGGAAATAGGCTGGATAGAATATTTTATCATTATTTTTCAGAAATTCAAAATCAGAATCGAGGCACCTCCCAGACGTAAGCATATGGTTTTCTTAGGAGGAGCTGTACTCGCCAATCTGATGAGAGACCGCGACCAGGTTTGTAAATGAAGCGAAAATAAGCTCATTCGTTATTCAGGACTTCTGGATCTCGAAAGCCGAGTATGAGGAAGCTGGTTTAGAACATTGCATGAAGAAATTGGGCATCAAGTAAATTATTTTTTAAAAATTTTATTTATATTGTTTCCTAACTTGCAAAAAGTTTCACTTGTTCATGCTCATTACTAAAGCTGTTAAGTTATTCTCATTCTGCGATTAAAGCAGCTCTGATGCTTTTTTATCTGTCCAATGTTGTGCTTTATCGTATTTATTTTTTTTTTTAAATATAGTCAAGACTGTTCATTTGTATAGAAAATGTATAATGAAAACGGAATGGTGAATTTGTGTTCTATTTGTGTGATTGATCGCACCGAGGTTTCTAATTCTGACTCTTCATTCTGTCAAACTTGAAGAGAACCATGAATATGTAATGAGTCTCATTTCGACGACCCTACAAGGAAATTGACATCCATAGCTGTCTGTACAGCAGTTCTGTGCTTTTCTAGCAAATGAATCATCCAATAACTCTTTGAGATAAATCGTCTGGAGATTGAAGCTGTTCAATAGCCTGATATTCTCTGATTTTTTTTCTCGTCCCTTCTCACAATACGCTCTAATCTTATAGGAACTGATCGATCTTTCCGGCCATTCATTTTCAGAGCTCTGTTTTCTAAGAACATTCTCAGGTGTTTCCTTATTTCATATGAACGATACTATATCCCCGACAAGCTGTTCGCGTTATTGCTTTTCCTTCTCTTTTCCATCTATTAGTTCCGTTTCAAACTATTTTTCATATTTCTGTTGAGTAAACTGTTCAACGTTTCATTCCTCATGTATTTGTTTTTTGACTCTTACATAGAGACTCTGATTCTGCAACAAAAAAAAAACAATTTTCATAAGATATCAAATGAAAACATACATCAGCGTTAGGAGAGCGAATCTGGAAATTCACCTATTTCATGAAATGTTTGGATAAAACGACTTCAAATATGGTCATGAAGGTCGCAACAATCATGAGGAACAAGCGAATTTGCGCAGCTGGTGAATCCTCTCTGGTAATCATAGAAGCTTTATCCACCCCTCGCCCTATATTTCCCGCCAGCTTCGTTCTCCCTTTATCTTTTCACTTTTTCTCTTCCTCTCTCTCTCTCACTCTTTTCGTTCTGTTGTCTTTTCTACCAGAGATTTCAACAATATTTAGCAATCGTTTGCAAAGTTCTCGTTGAGTTTTATTAGTCGACATGAAATTGAAAGCTTCGTACTTCTCTAAAAATTGGAAAGGAGATGCTGCTTGTTCAAATCTAAAGCGTTTTCGTTGATTGAGAACGAAGCTTATCATAAAAGCATAGAATGCATTAAACTCATCTTTCCTTAACATTTATCAATTAATGTGTAGGGCAACGAACTAAATTGATGCCGTGCCCGAAATATTAAGGGTTATTTCAATAGAGACTTGGAACGCAACCGGTTGAGCTACATCATGTTTTCAAAATGATTTTACGTCATCACGCTCTGTACACGTGAGTCACGTGAAGTGTGTTTTCGCATCTTTTGAAGAAATTTAATTGTAGCACAAAGTGTATTAAGAGCTATCACCCCGTAAAAGGAAGATGCATCGTTTTGTCTCATAAATATGATCTTTTGAGGCATTTTGGTTCTTTTTTACGAGCTTCACAGGTCATCAATAGACTGTTTGTACTGACTTTAAAATCGTTTTTACTTTTCCTTTTTTCTATATAGTCTCACAGGATGATTTTTATGGAGATGATATGCTAATTAGATATTCTGACCTATCCATAGATGGATAACCTTGTGTACACACGCTGATCTAATAGGATACGAAAAGATGCAAAATCATGTTTTCTTTTTTTTTATGTTTCTCCCATCACTCTCCCATTCTTTCTCGTTTTTGTTTCATTCTGTACAAATTAAGTTGTTTGTTGAATGAGTGGGTTGAAGACAACGAATGCTACATTACCAACATCTACAACAGCTTTTCTTATGAATTTTTTTCTCTTTTTTGAAAAAATAAAATTTTTTTTGTTTTTTCATCAGTGTTTATCGGTCTTTGCCATCTTTCAGTGAATCAGATTTCAAAGGTTTTATGAAGATCTCAATGATATTTCAATTGTTTTCCGAATTTCTGCTGAAACAATGTGCCGTTAATGAACTGTTGAGTAACAAAGAAAATAAATAAAATTCAAAATCATAGAACTGTTTTGGGTTTCTGTCCTTGAAAGTTGTCGTTTCTTCAGAGAAGTCTAGAAAGTGCATGCGCATTCATAATTCTCTCCTGAAACAGAAATGTGTGAAGTTACTGATCAGCCGACCCACTTTTTTCTGATCTAAGCTTCTAATCAAATTATACAGAGGGTCATTGCAAAAATGAAACAAAAAGAGTGAGAGAGAGAGAAGGAAGAGAAAATCCTTATATGGAGACATAATGTCTGTTTGCAACATAATCAATTACTTGACCCTATCATCCCTCCCCCACCCCAAATCACCTACTTCGCAAATTTGACGTAAGAACCAACGTTTCAGACGACCAGCCCCACCCAGATGTTTCACAGTTTCCAATTATACTTTTTTAAATTTTTTTGTGCAACAAAGCGATTTGAATCAGATGCTGATGTCAAAGAGAACAAACAGTTGTGAACTGAATTTCGTTCAAACTTAATTGAAAACAAACAAAACTCGCTTCTTTCGTTGTAAAATTAAATTTGTCATTTTTGCTATGTTAGTTGCATTAGATTAATAAAATTGTGACATGATGAGAAGAAGGAAACCAAGTTGACCTACGTTGATAACAACCGGCTTTCTCTATTTTCTGTGGCAAAATCTTCATCTCGATTATTATCGTCTTTCTCAAAGTCGAAAATATCATTTGTGTTGCTTTCAAATTAGATTTTAACATATCTGATAGGCTATGCTAATTAAGTTCGTCGTGATCCCTTCATTTTCATTTTTGTGTCATGTTACGCTTAGAGCGGTTGTGCATTTGCTTTATCTGCAGCTATCGGCATCCTCACTACTCCTACATCCATAACTTTGCATTCTTGAAGCTTTTTTTATTAAAACACAAAGACTTTGATCTCCTTTTACGTCTTATCAAGATCTTTTGATAAAATTTCAAAAATTCCTTAAATTCGTCGTGGATTATGACGACAAAACACTGTCATTGTTTGTGCATTTCCGAGTTCCTCACCTATACATGGTATTTTCAAAGAGATTTATAAGCTTATATCCGAGATTATAAAAATTGAATGTTAAAAGTTAGTTATCGTTTTCTTATCTTTACTAATATCAAATTTTACTTAATAAATTCATAATTTTTGACTGACATCTAGCTTTGAAGATTTCTTATCAAACTAGTACATCTGGAGTATTATGACAGCTATACATATATTTTTTTTCATTTTTCTTTATTGCTTGTAGTGCTTTTTACAAACATTTTCTTTTCCGGAAATAATATTGCTTTGTCATTCTAGTCTCCTCTTATAGAGTCATGAGCAGCATACGATTTAAAATATTAGTTTGAAGCTTATCATGTGTCTGATTGAATATAATGTTCGATTTTATTTCTCAGGGTCAAAGCTTTTTCTTCTTTTTTTTTTCTTTTTTTTTCCCACGCGATCGTTCAATAAGCTTCTTTGAGATTCTTTTCTCTTCCTCTACACCACATCATTTCGAATTATGGTATGAATGCGAGGCTAATAGATGTTAACAGCAAAAACTGAGTCTTAACACATAAAAATCGTGTAACTGTTTGATTTAACATCTTCAATCATACCGTATTTGGATGAAATGTCCTCTGCCATTTTTAGAACTGGTTTTCGTTTCTTCCATAAATGATCGATCATCTTATAAGTCTTGTATGGCTATTTTAGTTGACAACTTTTCGATTTTCTTAAAACTTAACTCATATAAGCCTCAGTGAGGAATGTTGAGAAACAAAGCGCAACTTTTTTGGTTCAGTCGGTCCTTCAAGAAGAATATAACTTGCGAGTGTTTATGGCAGAACTAGCCACGAAATATTAATTTGCTGAGATATGGGGGGCAAGCTTGTTTAAAAAAAAGTTTGAAACATAAATTCAAATTTGTATATAAAAGCCGTGCAAACTGGGAAGATCCCAAGAAAAAAAGTTTCTCAAGAGCTCTGGAGTTTCTTCTGTTTTGTAGCAGCAGCAGCATGTTGTTTTTTGTTTTTAATGACCTAGGATAGTCACGTTGATAGAAAACTTTGTTAAAATTTAAGTTTTTTTTGCCTTTTTGTTGTCTGACTACTACTTCATGGAAATCTGTATTCATCTATTATTGTTTGGGAACAGCTGTTATTTGTTGAGTTTGTTACTCCTAAACCCATTTATGTCAATCAGAGGGTCATTAATCTTAATTCCTAAATTATATATTAATTTTCGTCGAAAATCTACTAGAAAACCTAATACTTTTCATTATCGATCTCTCTATTTACATATTTCATCTTAATACTTCTGTTTTTCTTCAAGTCATCTGATTACATTCATTTTGAAATGATTAGGTTAAACACTGATCAGATCTTACAGCACAACCGCTCTAACCGCATGCATTCAGTTCAAAATGAAATTTTCACGTACTCGTCACGTAACTTGACAAGTTGAGTATCTATCCATGCAATTGATTTGAAACTAACTTCTCGTATGATTTGGTTCTATGAAGGAACTATTATTAAAGAGACAGCAAAATGTGTTTTTGTAGCTGAAATAGATTGGTCAGTTAGTTCTCATTTCTCTCTTTCTCTTCTTATTCATTTCCTTGCCATCAGTCTTTATCACAGATTTCCAGCGTTTTTCAATGACTAGCAAATCAGTCTATTAGATTTATTTCATTATTTTTAAGAAAACAATTCGATTTTTATACTATTTTTCTCATAATGCTGTATGTGCAAAGTGTATTTCAGAAGATTATCTGAATTTGCTCGATAAAAGCTACAACTCTCGTCATTTCCCACTAGAAACACCTTCATTCTTGCCGCTGATAGCTTTTTTCGCATCAAAATGATTAAGCTTTTGAGGTGTTGGTGGTGGTGTTCGAAAAGATGTACGAACTCTAATGAACGTGCCATCCCAGTCATCCAAATGTTGCCTAATTAAACTATTTTTTTTATTTTATTTATTTATTCCATTCAATTGTACAGCTGATCAACTAATAACGCATTGCGAACTTATAAGAGCATTTGGATTTTATGAACTGATCATTATAAAACATAAATGGTCATTGACTGTCTGTGGCAAGCACATTGTGCTCACATTGAACTCCTTAGCATTGACAGTTATGAACATCGTTCTCTCTCTCTCTCATTCTCTCTGCCTTCTTCTCTCTTCCTCTATTAATATATATTTTATTCTTTTTCTTTATGTCATTATCTGCATGTTCTGTTTGAAAACTTTCTCGAACGAAAGCAGCTGATTTTCCATGGAAATGTTCTTTTCGACAGTTGTTAGGAAGAAGGATATCCCACTCAGTTTTGCATTGCATTCCTTTCGTTCTGAATAACAAGGAATGTCAAACGATGAGTCATCATAAAAATTTTAATTTTTTTTTCATTTTACGGTCATATTTCGGATAAGGAAAACATAATAAGGTTGATTGATTTTTGAGCTTTTTTGTTCAAAAATTGCCTGAATAGTCTTCGTGTATGCTTGTGTATTGTGTGTGTGTGTGTGTGTGGGTGAGCGATAACGTGATATGGAGCCCATTAGGTATGATATTGCTTACTCCTCTTTCATAATCCTATTGTCCAAACTTTTCTTTTTAAGTTTTTTTTTCATTTTAAAATTCCTTGTAAAACAGCTGACTTTCACATAATCAGATGAGAAAAACATATTTTATCAGTACTTGAGAACAACGAAAATGACGCGAAACATGGCTGAGTCAAAGACGAAATAATCAATCTCTGAATTTTTAAAATTTTTCGTTTTCCATAAATTTTGTATAAATACGTATAAATTTTGAAAATTTCAATTGAAAAGATCTTTTCCAAGATTTTCTCGATTCATATCTGTTCAATGATTTTTTCTTTTTTTTTTTTTTTTTACAAAAATCTACTTGTTTTTGTCAAACAGGTTGGAAAGTTTTGAAAGCTTGCCGATTGCCTCAGAATTCTTGCCCGAACTGCTTTAATCTCTTTCATTTCTATTTTGTGATGATTATTTCTCAAGAAAAGTTTTTTATTTGTTTTTTTTTTCTGAAAATATTGATATACTTCTTATCAAATACTTACAGATCTTATTTTTGCTGGAGATTGTGAGCGACACGTTGAGGTGTTTAAGTCGCTCAGATTCTTCTCTTCCTTCCAAGAAACTGAGATAAAACGGAATTAATTCGCTGTCAGATTCTTACGTTAAGATTCTGGCATTTTGGGATCGGAGATAGATCAACGACAACATCAGTTTTCGAAGATCTACCGCAAAGGTAAACTCTTATCAATCTCTTCTTCCTTTCCTTTCCCACAACTTCGGAATTGCTCTATATCCGGATTTCAGTGTCCATTTTCTCCTGTAGCTCCTCCCATTTTCTCAGTGAGCTCCTTTAGCTCCTCCTTCTGATCGCAGTGGGTGGAGCTCTTTGCGAAATAGCTCTTCGTTCACGGAGACGCAGACATCTGCGCGTCGTCGCAGCTGCGGTGACGCGCCGCGGATGCGCCGCGACCTCCGAATCGTCGTCGTCGTCGACGTCGCCGTCGTCGTTCTCACGTCGTCATCACCATCATCATCCTGAAGACCTTACTAGCATGTCCAGCCGTGTGAGCTGGCTTCTGCTGTATCTGGCAGTCGTCAGCCTGTATATCCTGCCATCATGTGTTGTATCTTCTGAGCTGTCACCAATCTCATCTGGAGAGTCATCTTTTGAACTATCTCATAACGTCTTACTATCAACGTCAAGCAAACACAATGTTGAGACAATCAGTAAGAAATTGGAATGCCCAAGTTCTTGCCCGGAGTGTCCAGAGCCAGAATGTGAGCTGACAGTCTTGGATCAGTGCAATTGCTGTCCGGTAGGTATTTCTCATAAATAAGTTGGTAGATAGTTGTGTGAAAATATTCTGAAGTACTTCATTCGGAAAAGCTTTCGTGAATACAGTTAGAATTAGATTTTCGTATTTAAAGACTTTTCTTCGATTCTTTTCACTGATCTTCTCTGTTTAAGCGTTTTCAGAGAAATTGTTTCGAAATGATTTCGTTGACCGGTATGACTGATGAAGTGATAATTTTTTCTTCCAACATAGGAAATCCTCAACCTTTGGCTTCTCTCCCGTGTATTCAAAAAAAATGTTTTTTCTTCTTTTTTTTTACGTCCAAATATTCTCTTTCGTTTCTCGAGAAACAGCTTTTGCCCTAATCCCTTTATCGAAATACAGAAGAGACATGAGGCATCTCGGTGGGGTTTTTGAGAAAAGAAAAGAACGACAAGAGGAGAAGAAAGAGCAGTTGCAGGAAGAGCAGTGTCTCTCTACCTTTTCTCTTTCAAGTTTCTTTTCTTCTTTTCTTTCTCATATCTCCTTTTGACACATTATGTTTTCCTCTCTCTTGTTTTGTCTCATTTGATCCTTGTGCTTCCCGAGAAGAGTCGATGTGAGTCTCATCGTCAAACTCACTGTGGACAATGACGACGACGATCGCAGCAATTTGTATTGGGTACAAGAAGCTGATGATGGAAAAGAAGAAGATGCAATCTACAACAGGGGACAACGAGGGTTGAAATGAGAGAGGAGAGAAAAAAATGAGAGCGAGAGAGATAGAGAAAGGGCACAACCGTTTTTCATCGTCTGAGACGTTTAAAATGAAAGTAATTGTTGAGACTTCACGTGACGTGAAGCACGTGGAATTTCAGAAAGTTTTATTTTTTTTCGAAATCATCAAATTTGTAAATAATTTGAACAAAGAAGAAACACAAAAGAAAGTTGGTGACAGAGCCGTTCATCCACTTGAATTTAGTTTGGTGTCGGCCTGGCTTCTGTCATATTTTTTAATCATGAGGATGAGCCGGGCATCGGAGAGTTTTGCGCCTAGGAGAATCCATTATCATGTTCGATTGGACTGAGTTCAAACAAAGTTCCTGCAAGTGACAAGCAAATGGTAGAGATGGAGCAGATGAAAAAAAGTTTCGAAGCAAATAACGATATTTAAAAAACGAGATGAATTTCAATTTGAACAAGAGCTTAGTGTTAGGAGATCATCTTGATGTTAATTATATTCCAAAACAGAATTATTTATGCTAATTATCATTTTATAGGTCTGTGTACGATCCGCCGGTGAAACATGCGGAGCTTCAGCTGGAGTTTGTTCAGCAAATTTAATGTGTCAACAACTCAATGATAATGATGAGTTTGGAAAATGTGTAGGTAAGAGGGCTTTTCGAGTTTTCATTTTCAAATCGTATTGAGTATGAGATTATTTTTCAAATATTTTGCATCTTTCGCCTATTTTTCAAACTAACAAAAGAAATTGAAGCCGTTACTGGCCGAATATGGCGTGTCGAATTGCTCCAGAAGGCTATCTCGTGTTTGGTTTCAATATTCATTGCCAGAATAGGTTATATTGCAAGGGTTTTCATGAGTTCTATAAAAGTTCATCATCAAATTATGAAGAGTGTGTAAGAATGAAAGGAAGATTTGAATCGTAAGCTTTAATGATAGATGAAACGTTTCTCAAACAGTGCGCATGACAATGAGACTCCTAGGGGTCATTTAACAACTTTTGTTGCATTCTTAATCGTTTGCAGAGTCATAAAACAGAGTATTTCGTGCAAATTACTAGTTAGTTATCTTATACAGAAGAAAGTTTTTCAAAATATTTGTTGTTTTATCCCAAAGTATACTGGATGAAGATGCTTGTTGACGATCTGCTTACTAATTGTATTGAGGGTCTTTCACATTAGTACAGATCTTCTGGAGAATATTTCTTCTCTCTCTTTCTCTCTTCCTCTCTCTCTCTCCCTCTCTCTCTCCCTCTCTCGCTCTAAACAGGGACATCCACATCTGACAGATGAAAAACGTCTGTTTAATCACAATAATTATTGTTGTCAAACCCACAATTAGAACAGCACAACAGCTTCTAACACCATAATTTGTTTTGAAAAAATAGAACAAAAAAGATTTCAACCTTTCTCCTACCAAAAGCTATTCTATCCATAAATGGTCATTCAATTACAATTTCATTTGACTTTTTTCTTTTTTTCTGTGCGATTACATTCCCATGTGTGCAGTGTACTTGAAAGCAGGATCTGCTTTCAATTTTTCTTACTGTCTGTGTTTACTCTGATCAGTCACCCTTCTACCGTCACAGCTTTTATAACTTGAAGGTTTTTTTTACCTCGTTAGGAGTTCCCTTTTGCTCATTTTTCATAAGAAAGCTTTCCATTGTTCTCAGTCGTCACTAAAATCAGAGCATTTTGAGGAGTCAGTAATCAAAGCCCTTGTTGTTTCCCTTCTCTCATCTCTTAGACAGCTGATCATCCGATACCAGACTTGGACTGCATTGAAACTTTTTTCTGAGCCTTTACCATATAAGATTTATGTAAGTAGGTGAGAATCAAAGATTGCGAATTCTTCTAGCTTTGTTTGGGTAAAGCGATAAAAGAAATACAGAGAAAGAGAGAAAGAAAAAGAGAAAAAAGGTGAAATGAGGATAGAATGAAGGAAAAAGAGCACGACATGCAAGGCAGGTTGACTGTGAAACAAACGACAGAGCTTCGAGCAAATAGACTTTGTGTGTAAGAGAAAAAGGGACTTAGTTGCCAAACTACAAAACCTTCTTAAAACATAAGATACTAAGAGGATAGGGGAAACGATTTTTATCAATTAACTGCAATTATCAAAATTATTATTTCAAAACATTGAGAGACATCCGAGACACTCTCTCTTAACAATAGAAACGATCTGCTTCACGCAGACAGCTGGCGAAATCTTGTTCAAACAAACTTCCCTAGATGGCAAATTTTACTTTTTATCCAAAACGACTATACTCTTATGTGAGGAAAGCATTTATATTAATGGAAGCTATCTTTAGATACATCATCAAGTTGCTTAAAAGCAAACTGTTCCGTTGTGTTCCACCCAAGCTGTCCTTTTGATTCTCGTCTAGTCATTTTACCACCTCCTGCTGGGGAATGTTGTGGACAACCAGGCACATGTCATTGTGATCAACAGGTATGAAGAAGGAAAAAAAGAAGCTTGAGCTTAACTTGAAATTTGGGGTTGTGAGCGACAAAATGTGCTTGTCTTTAGAAATGCGAATCACTCGTGCCCACTTGTGAAGATGGAAAGGAGCGAGTACTCGTAGAAGATGGACGAGCAGAACCAGGAAGATGCTGCGATATTTTCGAATGTAGAGAAAAACGTTAGATTTCATTGTTTCGCGATTTGTACATATTTGGATATGATTCCAGAATCAGAATGTGCTTCTGTCCACTGTCCTCCATTACCGTTAGATGAAAACGAAGGAGTTGAATGTCCGGCTGATAGTGTCCGACCAGCAGAACATGTTCCTCTTGGAGGATGTTGTCCTGTTCGCCCAGGGTCAGTACTCTTTTGCTATGCCTGTTTTTGTAAAGAAAACAAGCAAGTGATCAGAAATTCAATGAGCAAAGCTGTTCAGATGTCGCTGTAGAGCTTCTGAGTGCAGACCAGCAGTTTGCCCTGAAGGGAAAAAATTGAAAATAGTCCGCAAAGGCAATGGAAATCCAGGGCGATGTTGTGATGAATGGAAATGTGATGACGATGAGAAAGCTTTGGTAAGTTGATGTACTGAAGCGTAAATGAGTTTGATTAGAGGCATCAAGTCGTCAGATTTATCTTTTCGCTTTTTTTATGATTTCTGATCGAGAAAGTCCTTTTTGTGTAAAGAAAGCTGTTTGAATAGACGGTTACTCGCTGTATCAATGAAGTCTTTGAGAAAATACAGAAAAAGGAGTATCTCTAATCGTTTTGAAGTTATAAGAAATAATAGAATATGTTGTTTAAACTTGTTAGAAAGCACTTTGATTCCCTTTTGTTTGAATAAACGAACGTTTTGTTTAAGGGAAAATCATGTGAACGGGACGGTAAAGTATATTCTGATGGACAAGAATGGATGTCAAATGCTTGTGATCGTTGTAAGTGTAAGAAAGGAGTAACAGCTTGCAGTAAAATGACGTGCCCTAAAACACCAGGTTCATATTACATTTTGATTAATCATATGAATGAGTTTACAGTGGATTGTACATGGGTTATGATTCCTGAGGATGAATGTTGCCCTGTGTGCGTAGGATGTAGAACAGATAAAATGGAGAAAATCAGGAAGAATGAAACTTGGCAGAAAGACGACTGTACGACGTACGTTGCATTCAATATTTTATAGTTCTCTGAGGAGTTTTGCACATTGCTGCTGTATCCTTCCTAGTACTTATTCTGAGTAAATGTACGAGTCAGTGTGGTTGTGCATTATCAAATTCTTTTTTTTTGCTTTCCAAAATGTTTCTTGCAGATGTACGTGCTCTGAAGAAGGAACCGCATCATGCGAAAAGTATATGTGTACGGTTAGCTGTGAAAATCCACGAAAAATCGAAGGCCAGTGTTGCCCTGTATGCGATGGTATGAGTTCTGCATGATATACCTTTAAAAAAAAACTTTCAGAACCTACAGTGTTTACATTACCTGCCACTTGTCCTTCACTAGATCATTGCCCATTAAGATGTGAAAATGGATTGAAGCGAGATGATCGGGGCTGTTTTGAGTGTAGCTGTTTACCTGATGAACATCCCAAAAGCATAGATTGCCCAGAACTCAGTAAAGAGACCTGTGATAAGTACGTGAATGAATAAGGATTATTAAAAACATATTCACTTTTTTCAGACAATGTGCACATGGTTATTTGAAGGATGCAGCAGGCTGCGGAGTGTGCAGATGTGCTAAATGTCCCCCTCTTCATCAATGCTTTAAGCATTGCCTGTACGGTTTCGAAACTAACTCCGTCGGGTGCCCCGTCTGCAAATGTCGAAGTAAGTGTCTGAGCTTCTAGAGAATGATAATAACATTTGTATGTAGCCATGTCCCGTATCGAGGCAAAACTGACCATCACGGACAAAATAGGCAAACTCACTGGTTGGGATAAGTGTATTTCCATGACAAGAAATGGTAAAGTCATTGAACGAGATGGTGGTGAATGGTGGAATGATGGCTGCCGGCATTGCTTCTGTGAACAGAAACAGGTACTCATTAACAATATATAAAGATTATTATAATGTATTTGACAGGAGTTCTGTTCCCTTATCTCATGTCCTCCAAAACCTGACGACTGTGATGAATCCAATTGGATTCTTAAAGAAGGTTTATCCGCTTGAAAATTCTTTTATTAATTTTCTCGATCAGGTTCGTGCTGTTCTTCATGCTCAGCAGAAGGAACAACAACTGATATCGTGAACAAGCATGAACATACAGTTTGTCAATCACCCGGAACTGGACGTTTATTCACTGGTTCGTCATGAACACTTTCTCGATAACATGCTTCTATTATTCAGATGGAGAAACTTGGCAACTTGCTCCTTGCATCTCATGTACATGTCGTGTCGGATACGTTCTGTGTCATACAATTGAATGCCCTCCTATAGCATGCAAAAGTCCAGTTCTTCTTCCAAACGACCAGTGTTGTCCTAGGTAATAATCAACATCAACGTCCTGTCAATATCTGAGTGTTCCAGATGTCCAACTGACAATTCCACATCATTAATGGCATCTAAAACAGATACTTCTAGTGTATGTACAGATGAGAATGGAGCCGTACATAAGCAAGGTGATTAAGCCTTTCTAGATTATTGTTGAACATAACAACTTGTCATTTCTCATAATTATTTGTATAGGCTCTGATTGGCGTACAGATGATTGTACATCATGTACATGCATGAAAGATGGAAATGTTGTTTGTTTCCGTGAGTCATGTGACAATATCTCAGTTTGTAGTGGAACTCCTCTAGTCATCAAGGGACGCTGCTGTCCGATTTGTTCGGGTAACTTTTACATTCAATTAAACGTCATTATATCTATATCCTTCAAGATGTGTTGTCCTCTACCGATGTTTGTACATATGAATCTTCTGTATATTCTGTAAAAGAAGAGTGGAAGGTACGTTTTTTTATTCAAAATAATCTCTTAAACAATGTACGTTAGGATGGTGATTGCATGAAATGCTCATGCGTAACTGGTGGACAAACGATTTGTAAAGAAACTGTCTGCCCCCCATGCGTAGATCCAGTACCCATTGATGGCCAATGTTGTCCTTTATGCAAAGGTACATTGAGACGAATATAACTAAAGTTTAAAATTTTATAGACGTGGGACCATTATCTCTCAGTGAAGGAATAGGAGGCTCTGTCAACCAGCCTAGCAGCGTTATCAGTGTCCCATTCATTACTCTGACCTTTTTATCATTTTGTATTATATTTGGTTTACTAATTCTGCTTCTGATTCTCTACAGGAGAAGCCGCTTAAACAGCAAGGTAGTGATAGGCTTTACGGTTCCTTTTATTTTAAACTTTTTACAGCCTCATATGATCAAAGATACATCTGTTCGGCTATCAGCTACAAAGCATATTGGATCTTCACCACATTTGGAGAATTGGTCTGGAAAGCCTCGTCACAATTCTCATTCAGATGATCAATCCGAAAGCCTCTTGTCCACAGCGTAAGCTACTAGTTGAGAATCTGTAAAATTATGAAAAATTAATAGTTCTGAAACGTCAACAGCAGTTTCATCATTGTCGTCAGGAGTTGGACCACAGCCAGATACAATTCCCTTGACGACACGCACCGGAGGTCCCTCCTCCAAGCATCATGCTTTTAATGTATAAGCTTCAAAATCTGGAAAGTATGTAATAATTCCTAAATCTAACTATTATTCTGATAGTACTTCTATCGTTATTACTTCACTTTTCTTCTTCCAAAAACTCTCCTTTCTCTCTCTTTCTCTCTCTCTCTATCTCTTGCACATAATACTGGATAATAGAATTCCAGCAACTAAGCAGTTAACATCTACGAGCTAATTCAATGATTACGAGTTCTGAGATGTATTCAAACTGTCTTCTTCAAAACATTAGTTTCAAACATGAGCTGGTATTTTCAGGTTCTTTTGAAATCAAAATAATTTCTTTAAGAAAGTATCTTTCGTAATTTCTCTCTTCTTCTCATTTCTTTATCTCATTTCTCATATAACAACCCAAATTTAGTTTTAGGGTGGTATTCATTCATATGGGTACGTTCAGAATAATAACAAAAAAGTCTAAATAAGGGTTGGAAATTGTATGAATGATTTGCTTGAAAAACAGTATTGCTTACTGTGCTGACACATTCCTTTAAGTTCATTTTCAAAAAAGTTTCGTTGTGAATATGTTTTTGAAATTTGAGATTATCTCAAGCAAATATTCCTCATATTTCTTACTCACACATAGCTTCCTGGAGCTTTTTGTTGGAATTCTTCTACCTTTATTCATACTCAGATTACGTGTTTATCTCAAAATCCCACATTTACTTTACATGAGTGGTTGTGCAGTTTTGCCTATGAAAAGCAAAATTTACCTTGTCCATTTACATAGCAAGGAATCCTGGTGTCACAGTCGCGATCCTCCTGCCTGATCATTTCTCATCTTGTTCTGAAGTTGAAGTAGCTGAATCGTTTTAAAATTTTGAATTGTCTAAGATTCCATCTTATTCTTGACTACTTGATTGTGTGCTGGACACCATTACCTCCCAAATGTACATAGAAACAAATGTTTACGCGCATATTCACCACTTTATTCTCTCAAAATATTCATAATAAACTTTTAATTCCTTTAATAGTTGAGCCATATTATTATAAATTATTATGTTGTACCAAAGATTTTCGATTGGTGGTCATCCTCCGTCATAAACTACTTTGCAATTCAATGTTTCATTAAATACACAAGTTTGATTCCATGGGAATATATTCATATTTTTTATTTCTTTGATATATATACACGATGAGCCCAAAATGATTTTACTTGGCTATTGGGCAAGATACTTTTCCCATTTCGGAACAGGTTGGAGTGGATGCTCGGATAGCAGCGACTTCAGTGTTGCAGGCAAGAACGGAAGCATTGTATCCACAGCACTTGCGTTGAATATCAGAGTTACAATTGGCATTTGTTTGTAAAGCT